GATTTTTCTATCCCTGTTTGTAGGTTTTGGTAACTTGACATCTGGGAAATGTATATTTCTCTTGGACTTTTTATTGCTGTGATTTGCATTATCATTTTCTATAAATATATTACAACATACTATATTTATTTTGGTTCACAGCTTTTAAAAATCTAATGTGCTCTCAGGCATCTGGGGAGTTGATGGAGTGGTCTAGAGATTGGAAGTTCCAGACAGGAGACCAAAGGGAAGCCTCTGTTTATACCTCATTTCCCCACAGAGCTCCAGGATTTTCCTAATAAGAAAATGGGGCTACTTCTCACCCCCGCAGAGGTGATGGGGGGATAAGTAGTTAATGTTTACAAGTTTAAGATGAAACTTACCTAATAAAAGTGTCAACATGTTGATTATTTTTAAGGCTCCTTAGTAAGAAAAGGAATCTGTTTCAACTTTCATGGGGATTTTGTTCCCACTGAGATGTTCTTTCCGTCTTTTTTTTTTTTTTAAACCACCTAAAGCTGTTTCCATATTTGCCTCTTACGCTTAACAAACATCTGACTATTCTATAATAGCAGTGTGCGGAGGGCAATCACAGATTCAAATTAATCCAGAATGGTACCGTCTATATTCTCCAAAATCAGGAATAAAAGTAGCCTTTTCAGATTTGAAGGGCTAAATTGAAATTGGGGTTTGGTGATTTGAAGCTAAGCCAGAGTGTCCCTTTAAAAGTTTTTTCTTTTTAAAAGAGGTTTCTGAGTTGAGAAATAAATGTGGGCATGAGAGAAATGATACCGCTTAACATAAATGGCATGTTTATTTACCAATTTTATCTTACGCATTGCATTTTTGTTTAACATTTGACTAGCATAGATTCTTCTAGAAGTGATTTCTTGTGCTCCACAACATATTTGCCTGGAAGGGTGGAGAGGGGCCAACAACATAATTAATACTCAGTCCCCACCTTTGCCCCCTGACACGGCTGCAAAGCTTCATTGAAACGGCCCAGTGTTCTGGTTTTGAATGGCAATTTTCTCCACCCATTTGAAACCACTTACAAGAAGGTGGCTTTTGTGCTCCAGAGATGTCTGTAGTTTTGCTTTTCTCCTCAGACTATTCTTCTTTTATCTCTATATCCTAGAAGTGACTTGGATTCATTTTTCTCTTTCTCTTTTGTTTTGTTTTTTTTTTTGGAAGCTTTTTATAACTTAAAAAATCAGTTATTCAAGGGAATATATGTCAAGGAAATCTATACATAGTACATTCTGAAAATTTTAAAATTTAAAACCAGATTCCATCCATGGACATAGACTTTGAAGGCCATCTTTTCAACATAGTTCTGTACTGCAACCTAGAATTAATCTTGTTTTTTAAATGATAATATTTCATTTCAAAATCATCCTCAGCTGATGCACCATTCTTATATACTGATTCATGTTCAAATGCAGTAATTCCTGTTATATATGAGAGTTTAGATTGATTCTAATCCCAGCTCTGCTGCTTATTAGATCGTTGACCTTGGACAAGTGATTTAATCTCTCAACAAATCAATGTCCTCATCTTTAAATGAAAATTATAATACCTTCATCATGGAGTCTTGTGGAGATGGAATGAGTTAATATATGTAAAGTACTTATTAGTGTACTTGGTACATAGAGAACAACTAATTAACGATATTTGTTTTCTTATTCACATTATCTCTTTCAACGTTGATTAGAGAATGTCTATATATATATGTGTGTGTGTGTGTGTATATATATATATATATATATATATCCTAAGGTAATTTAATCCCCTTTGTCAGTAAATACTTCGTCTAGTCTTTTATTTTCCATTTTTCCTTTTTTTTTCTTTTTCTGACCACATTTCATGAATTTGGTCTCATGACAAATTCTTCATGGATCAATGATGGTGAAGATGGCAACGTGCGCCCCATTCCTCTTTTTGGTTGAACGTATACTTTTCCTTGGTCAAGTTTATTTGTGCTGTCTCAGCATTATATTTGAAACATTCATGGGCCGTGCCTTTTTGGTCTCTGAGATTATTTCATAGAGGTAATCTAGAACTCCTAGGAAACTTAAGAGACCACTTTGTCCAATTCCTCATTTAAGAAATTAGAACACTAAGCCCTAGGGTGGAAAAATGTTACACTGAAGGTCACACTTCAGATGGATACTCAGACCTCCAGAGTCTTCATCTTATGCTCTTAACACCAGCATCCAATCAACCACTGTCCAGAAAATGATAATCACCTGCTTATCTTTCCCCTAAAGAGGGTGGTGACTCCTCCCTAATAATCTTTTTGGTAGGAGTATCTTGTGGTTTTATTTATGTTTACACAAATGCCTTGAGCATAATAGACCTTTAGTAAATATTTCATGAATGAATGTGTCATCTCTGTGGACTTATAGATCCACAAAGATGGGAACCTATAAATAATAAAACGTAACATTTTTCTAAACCCTTTCTATGTCCCCAACACTATTCTGAGTGCTTTACATATATTATCTCTCTTAATCCTTACAACGACCTTAAGAAATAGGTGCTATTATTATGCTCATTTTCCAGAGGTTAGGTAATTGCCAAGTCTTATCACCAGCTTTTGTTGGAGTCAGGATTCAAAGCCAAGCATTCTGACCTCACAGCTGGTGTTTTTAATTCCCTGTCCACTGCTGTTCAAGTACCCCATCCAATGAGGGCATTAAAGGGTGAACATTCTGAGCTGGACACCAATTCTGTTAGCTTGTATTTTTCCATTAGCATTGAAAGTGAGTTCACCAGGGTCCATTTATGTAGCTTAACACCAATTACATCAGATAAAGCAGCTTTTAGGCAGGTAGTGAAATAAGGTAAAATGAAAAGTCTCCAGCATTCTCTCTCTTTTTTTTTTTTAAGTTAGGAAAGAATTTAAAATATGAAATTATTTTGTTCAGATACAAGAGATTTCTAAGGCTGAAGAATTAAATTCCTTAAGTGATTAACCTGGCTTTGCTCTGCCTATTTCAAATTCAATTATAGGATATAATAAACAGGGTCATATTTATTCACTAGTGTTGGAATATGTTTAAATTAGGACTCATTTTATGGTGCATATGATTTTCAGGTCTTATATGATAGTTCTAGACAGAGAGGATGCCAGGGGAAAGACAGATTCCCGAGAGATGGGTGAAGGGGCGAGAGGTCACTTCATTAGAGCCCCTGCCAGCTCTAGCCATGTATCATGTCTTTCCCTTAGCTCTCATTGCTCATGTCCACCAATGGTGAAATTTAGATGGCTTGCCAGTATCCTACAATAATTTTTCCTAACCGCAGTTAAACCTGTGCTTTAGTTTGAATTCATCAGCAACATGCCTCTAATGCCTCGTCTAGGATGTGGAAGGAAAAAGGCATTTTATGCTCCTTGTTTGGAAAACATAGGTGAATTTCCCCTGAGTAAAGATACCACTCAGCTGGCGAGTATGTTAATGTAACTCAGCCGGGGACACAGTCCTATCACGGTAACTGAAAGCTCGTAAAGATCTCAAAACTCATGCCAGACTTAGGGTAATTATATTTCAACAGAGGAATGAGACTTAAACACAAAAGCCATTGTGGATGAAGATTATACCCTTTTTGTCAGTCTCATAATTATATGTGCCTATTCTTGATAGATTTTTATACAGCTGAAAGAGAATTTCAAGAAAACCTTCCCTAACCCATTATTTTATAGAGGAGGTACTTAAAGTTTCAGATCAGATAATGTTTCTAAAGTGATATAGCTATTTAGGGGCAGAATGATGACTAATTATGACCATTAATAAAAGGTTTTTTAGAACTTACTATGTGCTAGACACTGTATAATATGCCCTTTCTTTGAGTTGTTTCATTTCATCCTTACAACCAAGCGATGCACTTATGAGTTTACTGATGAGTAAACTGAGGCTGGTAGAGGTTAAGAGGCCTAGAGGTCACCCCCAGCAAGAGGCAGATTGGCGATTTAAGTACTAGTCCCTTTTCTAACCACAGCTAATGGCTCAACCCAATAAATGGCAATGATTCTGAAGCCAGGGTCCTTTCTGCTTGTAGAAGAGTTTCTGATTGGCAAGACAGGTTCCTCATTTTGACTGTGAATCAGACTTTCCAGTCTAATCTTCTGTGGAAGAGGTTAAGCAATGCAATATGCTGCAAATGGAAATGAAAGTTTAAACGCTAATTCGAAAGAGGGACTTTTATTACAATGGAGTGAAAACAGATGGTGGTAAATAGAGAGCCTTTGGCCTGGGCGCAAGACCAAGCACTCATCAGACTTGGATTTGCGGATATGCAACTTAACAACATGCTTTGCTTGTTATTACCCTACAGTGTCATCCCTCACGAGCGGAGAATATTAACCATACTGCAGTGGCTCAGCCTGCCAGATAACGAGAGGTATTTGTTTTCCTCTGTCTTTCTTCTTTCTTCAGTACATTTCCATCTCAGGTTAGAATTGGATGGAACACTAGATAGACTGTGAAATAAAAATTCAGCCAAGGTTTGGTATTAACAGTTTTGTGGTGCTTGGCCTTAAGCGTTACTTCCCTAAGAAGGATACAATGGATTTGAGTTATTGGGGACCATTTAATTACTTGTATTACTACAGCTGTTAATCCTGGCCACTGCAGTGGAGCTGAAGGGAGTTTCTGGCTTTGATAAATAAACTAGCAGCATTCCAAGGACTGCGGAAACATTAGGACTGACTCTTTAATGGAGTTAGTTCTTTAGGGCTGTAGATTGCATGATGCATGTGATCGTCACTGGGCTATATTTTCTTGGGGATCAAAGATCAACACTTATGTGCACATGTAGTAATAACATTCATCAGGTGTCAGGCGGGTGGGAACAGGGAAGAGGGGATGGGTAGATTCATAGCTAATGGGTGCCGTGTGCACCATCTGGGGGATGGAAACGCTTGAAGCTCTGACTTGGGCAGGACAAAGGCAATATATGTAACTTAAACATTTGTACTCCCATAATATTCTGAAAAAAAAAATACCTGAGTACGTGTTCAAATTTTTTTGGGGGGGACTTTTGATTCCTGAAGGTGGTACCAGGCAGTTACCCCAGTGGCCGTGGTCTAGGGAATGGTGGACGTGGAAGCAATAGAAAAAAAAAAGTTTTGCATGCTAATACTAACAGTGGTTTAGAGATTAATTAAATTTGAGAGATTTTTTTTTTTTAATGTGTGGGGATATTTGATATTCTTTGTTATTTGTGGTTTGGGGAGATTCTGAATCTTCCAATTTTCCCTTAGGCCTTCCGTCTATGCCTTCTATTCTGAACAACCTGATTTCTCTGGACACAAATATGGCCCTTTTGGCCCTGAGGTTAGTAGCTTGCCATCTGCCTGAGAAGAACCTGTGTCCCTGGGCGACCTGATCTACTGACCTGATTTCAGGATTTGTAAAACATCTTTGGGGGTGTTCAGATCTACAAAGTTTATACATAATCAAATCAACTACAAGTCTAAGAACTTAAAAATAATTGTAAACATACTTCTTTTTCTTACAGGAACTTCATTTCAGATTGCTTTGATATTTAAACATACCCTAACTTGGTGTTAACGGGAAATGGGGTGTGTTTCAGCCCTGCGGGCATCAGTCATGAGATGAAGGAACAGGAAGGGTTGGCATTTGTCATCATTGGGATGGGAGTGGAAAGGAATCTTGAGATGAAACCTACAATATAAAACATTGCAACTGAATTTCAGCATTCTTAAAATGACTGTAGCATTCAGAAAGGGTAGATGAGCTAAGCGGCTCCGATAGCCTTGGCAGGTACGATCAATCCGGCATATGTTATATTATTGGACACTTTTTTATTTAATAAATTTTGGCATAGGTATATATACTGTGAGACCATCACCACACTCAAGGATGTGAACATATTCATCACCCTGAAAAATGAAGTGAATTCTTAACTGAGAGGAAAACATACTGCTGATTGAATCTCGTTAGCAGGGCAGTGTGACATGTTTTTATCAAACACTCAGCCATCACAGTGGAAGACAATCTGTTTGTAAGGTAGTATCCAGTATAATTGCAAATTCGGGAGGTGGGAAAGGGATGGTTGTGTTCTCTTATGTTCCTCTTTCACCTAGGATGGAAATCGTCCCAACATTTCAGCATAAATCATGTTAAAATATGATGGAGTTTGTAAATCTAAACTTTTTAATATTGTAAATACTTTCCATCTCCCTTTATTAATAGGATGGTGAGATCTCCATTAATAAAACAAAACTTGATTTTAGCTGAGAAATTATTTTAAAAACTCTTTGTTGGTGAAAATTGCCTCCTCCCTCTAACAGCCTTTGACAACACTGTTGACTATAATTAAGTTCACTGTGTTCAGCATAAGGATGACCTGGAGATTCAGATAAATGTATCTTGGTTTAAGTAGTTTTGAACAAATTGCAGCATGTCTAAACAAAGGCAGTAAATACCAAAGAGTCATAAGTATTTCTGAATGCTCTGACATCAATTGAGTGCTGACTTTTTAAGCATTAGAAACTGATGGCTGTCTGAAACCATTCTTAGTTTGTCTTAAGTGATTGAAGTCATATAAATCTGATGCTCTTTTTCTATCCTTTTGATATTTAACCAGTGTTGCATGATTATGAAACACAAATGATAAAATGAGATAAACATCTGCATACATGAAACACAAATCTTATTTTGTCAGGAAAAATAGCCGAAGCAAGAGTGGCTGTTTTATCTTTGGATGACTTCTCTGAGATTAAACTAAACTGAACAAAAGGAACATTTCATTAAAATGTTAAAACAAAGCACCTAAGCAGTTCCATGTGCTCTACTTAAAAATTTGTCTTGTCTTGGATAATAATATTCCTTAAAAGACTCTATGTGGTAGGCAAAACAGGGGATGATATAGCCATTCTTTTAAAAGTAAAAGGGTAGTACTTTTGCTTGGCTGTAGTGGGAGAACTTGAAGATAGAACCTCAGAACTTCTGACTCCCAGACCACGTTTTTTTCCCCATGGAACCATTTAACCCTCCTTCAGTCCAGGGGGTAAGCAAAGCGGTCAGTTAATAACCATATTCAAATCACACAGAACATTTTCTTTATGACAGGAGTTGGCTTTTTAACAATACAGATGAGGTATAACTCATCTCATACCTTAAAAATTATGTGGCTTAACCATAAATGTTCTTTATCCATGAACTTCTTTGGTTTTCTAATACATGTGGTTTAGTTACAATTACCTACTTGAAAGTGTATGTATATGTGTTTTACAAAAAAGCAACAAGTTTTTTATTTTGAATATTGAGCAATGAATACATGAAGCATGATTCAGGCTAATTTAATTTACTGTAATAATTTTTCTATGTCTAAGGTTGCTCATAAATATATAAACAGATTTTTCTTACAGTACTTTTGAATTAAGAGCTGGAGGTATTCACGTTATGTTCTTTTTACTATTACTACTCCTTGAGACTGGGATATTCTCATGTATATACTGGGTAAACACTCTTAATTGGATACCTCGAAGTATATACTTCAATAATTGTAACCTGATTATCTGCTCACTTTCTTCTCATAAGGCAAGGGATATTTTCAGATTTCAACTATTTCTCATCTGGTTCTTGGAATCTTGCTTTAACTGAAAATTAAAAAAAATAGTTTACACTTTCAAAACACTAGACCAAAGCAAATCAGTAAGTCAGCAAAACCTCTTTTAAATCATAGAATAATTGGTTTATATACCTTTATGTCCTATATCATCATATGTCTTTATTATGCACAAAAAGATTATACATACTAGCTGAAAGATTATTGAAAAATCTGTAACATGTTATCTCTTACAAGTAAAGAGAAAATAACTTGCATTTGAAATTCAGTTGAAATGATTCTAACTAGCAAAATGCTGTATGCTACAAGGAGATGAATTCAGTTGAAATTTATGCTTTATTTACTTAACACTTGAGTACACTTCTTTTCAGGATGATTCTCCAAAGCTGTTAATTGAGATGACCAAACATTCAGCTAATAGCTCCTAGAAATGGGTTATTGCTCCTGGTTTCATAGTGTAATGGTGAATGTTCGAAAATATGCTTGCTTTTGATTATTGGCGCAATCTTTTTCTCTTTGACCGTCTGTGCTTTCTCTGTGACCCCTTGTTTGGCTGCTCTTCCAGGCCTAGAGGCAGAGCTTTGGCTGGCTACTCCCTACCTTCAGATGGCAAAGTATCCTTCTGAAAAGCAGGGAAATTTGCCCCTCTCCCTCCCATCCTTTTAATAACCTCAGGCTAAAACTTCTACATTCAGGCTAAAGTATGGCTGTTCAGTGAAAACTTAGCTTTCATCTACCTCTAACATTTGAAGAAGGAAATACATGCAATATAATCACTGGATGAAAACCCGGTTTGACTAAACCCTACTCTCCCACTGCTCCTCTAACCTGCTGCAAACAGAAGGGCTCGCCTTTGGAGTCTTCGGAATGTTGAGATCTCTTGCAAATGACCTAGTGTTTGACGGGCAGACTTGAGTGCTAGCAGAATGTATTCAGTGACCATGAAATGGAAAACCCTCTTTTCCTTTTGCTGCTCTTCTCATGGACATTTGCCTAAAACTAGAAGCATTAAAAAAAAAAAAAAAATCCCAACAAACAAAACCAAAGCCTTTGGGGCTGTGTCTTTTGATCACTCTGCTGGAGAGACAGGATGAGACAGAAGTAGAAGTGCCTTTGCCGTCGCTTGCCCTGGAAACAGTGAAATCGCATGGCAGATGTTCTCCTTCTCGGATACACTAACATTATTCCTCCTCCTGCCCCTTCCTGCATCTGAATGGCTCTCGGAACAGTCCTACTGAGGAGAGAAGTCAGTTAGGTAGACAGCAGGGCTTGCTGCTTTAATTCACCTTTGCACCATCAGCAAATCAGGGGCCTATTTTTCTCCAGCATTTGGAAATCCCAAAACGTTATCTTCAGTTTTCTCTATCAACCTCTGGATTTTCAAAATCACTGCAACTCCCCCCACAAAAGGGGGTTTCTGATAGCGAGAGTGTAAGTAGACTCTTTCTTGATCTGTATACCAAGATGAAGAGATCTTGATGACTTTTTACATTTTACCTAATTTAAAAAAAGAATTTGGCTTAGAGTTCCTCTATAACGGAAACCTCAATTGTTAGTGAGCAGTTCTCTCTCCTGCTGAAAGACCTGATTTGTGGAAGTACATTAATGACTAAGGAGGATTGCTTATTGTTTATGTTTCCTTCCATCCTTGATTTTTACATTTTTTTGCCTGATCCTTTTCAGTGAAGGTGACAGTTGCTTTCCTATATTTGGTGGTGTGACCAGATACTCATCAGATTCTAGATTGGAACCAGTTTCTCCAACCTCGTTGCCATCTTGTTATGACCAAGTGACTAGTATTTTCTTTAGTGTTAAGCTCGTACTTTATAAATGGAGAGCTTTTCATAACCAAGGACGGGTCTTGCCCTAATGCAGGAGTTATGGAATGCAGAGCTTGTCTAATGTCACCTTCAGACATACCTGTAGGCTCCTCAGCCAAAAGAATTCTCTCAAATTGTATTCTTGTTCTCAGGGAAGAGGCTGTGTCAATAGCATCAGGATCAATTTGGGAGGCTTCTCTCTAAAGAGTTCCCTGAATCATCATTCCAATTTTTTTCTCACTTAAAGAGCCTTAGTTTTCCTAACTAAGACTCTGCTGACCCCAGTCGGGAAAGTGTGAACTTTATTACCTGACCCAGAGGGACAGACGACTTCTGAGTCCAGCCATCTCTCTCCGCCAGTACAGGAGAGTAGTTATGGCTCCCCTCTTACTCCGGCTAAGAGACCTAAGAGGAAAGTTGCCCCTAAGAGGAGACAGGAAAGACCAGTTGCTCCTCCAAAGAAAAGACGAAGAAAATTACATAGGATGGATCAGTACGCTGCGGAAACTCGTCAGGACAAAGTAAGTTTATCTATTGTTCCAAAGCTGTGTGGCGGGCAGGTCTGAGTGGAAGGTTTCCTTCAGTGCCTTGGTTTGAAAACCAGCTGAATTAAGTTTTTGAAAAACTGTGGTGCATCGTCCTTAGCTTTGAGTCCAGAAGAATCTGGTACTTCAGAGATTAACACTTACGGGAAGACTTCCTGAACTTTCAGCATGACAGAAAAAAATAAAAAAAGAAGAAGCCTTTTAGTTTTTTTTAAACTTAGTTGCCCTGAAACTAGTATTAACATTTAGGCTTATGTGAACATTGAGAAGGCTATTGGTTTTGCTTGTACATATTCATAGAATCAGTCACAATAGTCTGTGGTCTTGGTTCTTGAGAACAACCCTGCAAGGTCAAAGGGGAAGTCCTCAAAGATAGCGCAGATTAGAACTCAATGGAGGGTTGGCTTAGATTAGTGGTTTTTACCTTCAGAGATCAGAAAAGGTCTTAGGCCATATAAAGGGAATAGCTGATACAGAAAGAAAAACAATGGGCAGATTGAGTTGTGTTAGTCTTATAGTGATGTAAGTAATATATACTCTTTCCAGTACATTCAAAAGCACCTAGGGGTTGTTACTTTTGCTGAAATCTTCAAATACTCCTGAGGCAGTATCTTATTTCTGATTGTCTGAGCCACTCAGTAAGAAGTAGGTTCTGGATTTTACCTGAGTTATCCTGCTGAGTAAAGGAAAATAAGTCATTGCCAAGGATCAACATAAGTTGTGCATTTGCTATTTTTTTTTTTTTGTCTAGACAAAGATCTTAGAGGAGACCATGATTTTCTCAGAAGCAAATGCCACTTAGTGCTACATCTGTTAGTCTCTTCAGATTATACTGCACATTTATTTCTGAAACTTTCAATTGTGACTTACTCCTTGGGACAGGGTTTGAAATGCTCACTCCTGCCATGAAGAAAAAAAAAAGTTTACGCCTGATTTCACTGATGAAATGATATGAGGAAAGGTCTTGATTCACCTGAGAAGATACTAATGGAAGATAATATTTTATGTCTGTGTAAAAGTGATATTCAGATCCCTTCTGTTCTTATCTTAGTCATTTTGAGTGCATATATGTAATTGTTAGCTAAGCTGTCACATTCATCTAAAGATACTTCCTGTATCTTTCTATTCTTTGTCTGATGAGAAGTTTCTTAAACATGTTTCCATTGCACAGTTAAAGATGAGAGGGAGTGGGAAGGCCTCTAGGATGTGGGAGCTTTCATGTTGTTAGAAACTCCCATTTGAAGCAAGAAAATGAGAGATAGATTATGTTTCTTAGGCTTTGGAAATGTTCTTTGGACAACTGCGTTTTCCTATTTTGCTAGACTAAATGAGAAACCCAGAAAAACTCAGAGGTTCACTTCTGTTTAAGTTAGGACTCTTGTAGATTCTTATTTCCCTCAAAATCAGCTTGAGAGGAACCAAACAGAGAAGCAGTAGCTTGTTTCTTAGAATAGATTCTTCTGTTAAGAATCTAGCCCTTCAAAAATCGGCAGTTAAATTATTTGGAATGAGAGGAAGCTCATTGTGTTAATGATATTCTAATTTATTATCCAGCGGAAGGTCATGATTTTAACCTCAGAACTGCTTTTTGGTTCACTTAGCCCTTGTCTTCTTGCCATGCCTCAAAACCTAATGTGATTTCACTCCGGGAACTGTCCGTCTGACTTTCTGCTCACTCTCAAAACTCTTGGATTTAAAGGATGTTGTTGCATTTTAGAAAGGCCATTTTATCTCTGAAAAAAAGAGTTTCCCTTAATAAATATCTTTGATATTTTCATATCAAAGAATCTTTAAAGGGATTGGATGAGGAGAGGTTTCAATTCTCTTGAAAGAATAAAGATATAAAGTGCTTAGACCAGATTTCATTTAAGATTGACAGGCAAATCTCCCCAGACAAAGCTCTGCCTCTAGGCCTGAAATTTTCCTTCCAAGATGTTCTAGGGGTAGAAGATCTATGAGCAACTGAAAGTGGGGGAAAATCCCTGTAGGGACTAACTTGCTCCTTTTTCCAGATGACAAATCCTCTGAGGGAAATTGACAAAACTGTGGGGCAATTAATGGATGGACTGAAACAACTAAAGCTGCACCGGTGTGTCAATGTCATCTTTGTTGGAGACCATGGTAAAGCTTTATTTTTCTTTGCTAATAGGGTAGATAATGTTTCTGATAGCATTGAGGACAGGAGCTCTTGTCCTCAGAATATAAGATTCTATTCTTAACCTCCTTCCTCCTTTCTTTAAGATGGGGGAAGAAATCAAGCCATGATTCAAAAGTATGAGATGACCTGAGACAACCTTGGGTTCATTTTGATCAAAAGCAGGAACTTCCTATATTTTTCTATTCTTTGCAGGAAAAGGCCTTTCTACAGAAATCTGTCTCTTGTTAAAGTGTTGCTGACAATTTTCTGGTGATATTAATAGCTTCTTCTGTGAATGTGACGTATCGGGTGATAATCCCTCATCCCTTCCAGCCACATCCTCAAAAGGAGCCCACAGAGTTTATGTGTAAAAGTCAAATTGTTTCCCTGAATTCACTGAGACCAAATCCAGAGGGCCCTGCTGCAATACAGAAGACTGTTAAAGAGAGGAAAAAGTAGTTTAGGAAGCATTTTTCCAAATCACTTTATAAAGTAAAAAAAATTCGTGACCACTTCTTAGAGGTGATCAAGAGCATCATAAACACTATTGGTTACAGACCAGGGTGATGGAGGGAAGGGGCAGCTTGGAAACATACAGACTAAATTCTAGGGAGTGCATTCTGCATTCCAGAGCTATCAAACTGAAATTCTGACTTTGGAATTTGGGGTGGTTCCCTTCTGGTAGAGCTTGAAAGATGAAAATTGGTTGACTCTTTGGCAGTTCTGTTAAGAATGGCAGGCAAATCTCCCTAGTCAAAACTCTGCTCTGGGCCTGAAGTTCTTTCTAGAATGTTCTAGAAGATCTATGAGAAACTAGGGGGAAAAAAAAAGACAGCTGTGGGGGCTTTCTTCCCTGAGGGGATTAAATGTAACCCTCTTATGTTCCATGAGTTTGGCTTGGTGGAGAGCTACAGACAGGACAGAGGATTTGGAACATGTATCAAAGCTGTTTCAATTTAAGTTGCCCAGAGCTGTCCAGAGCCTTTGCTCCCATGCTGCAGCCAGACTTGTAAGAAGTAGATGGGCCCCAATGGGTCACATGCTGAAGCATTGTAAAGGTCATGGATAGATTAAAACCTTGTCTTCTCAGTGTGCAGGCTTCTCAGATGAGTAGATCCATTTGGTTTCAGAAAGCTACAGCATCTCTTTCTTTAAAGGTAGTATGGCCTAGTGTTTCAGGGCATGCGTGGGCTTTGGGGTCAGAATGAGTTTTAGTGGAGTTCAAATTGCGCTGTGCCACTCAAGTACTGCACAACACTGTACACCTCATGTGGCCTCTCCAAGTCTCAGTTTCCTCATCTGCTGAATAAGAATACTACCACCACCTACACAAAGTTAGTCTGGAGGATGAAGGGTGTTGACGTGTGAGAAGCACTTAGCACAGTGCCTGATAGTCTTTGAAAGCAAGGAAGATTGCTCACCATTGGGGTGGCACAAGTGACTTCCTAAAAATGTAACAAATATAAGATCCTTCTAGTTTTCCATTAATATGTATTTGGAGACTTTCCCTTACTGGGCATCTAGTATTGTACTAGAACATAGTAGCTGTTTGTTGCTTTTATTTTTCTTCCTAAGGGTTTAAATGTTAAAAGGCAAGATGTATAACCCTTGTGTTATGTTGGGTTGTTTTGTCTCTCTTCATTCCAATTTGTATTAAGAGCTGGGGATGGGGTGGGGGTGGGTTGTCTGGATCTGTGATCCCAGGAGGTGATAATTTGAATTTTACCAGATGTGAGTCACTCTGGGTTGTATTTCTTTATTCCAAAACCTTGGCGCATCCTTTACAGGATCACTTATTTGCTCTCTTAGAGAATATTTGTATACTGGATTGTGCAAAGCAATAAATATATTAAACCTTTATAGTTCCATATCATCTCATAAATTCCAAAATTGACAATAAAGGTCTCTATTAGCCTCCATAGTCTATGATTCTAAGATTTGAATTTTTTTTTTAAAAAAAACCTTTAAAATATTGATCAAAAAATTTAACTTGATGGAGGAAGGAAACAAATCTTAGGGTGGGGGAGCAATGTTTGTTGGTTAAAAAATCTTCTCTACCTAGACGTTTCTGTACTTTGAGATGCTAGCTTTCAGTTCTGACTAACTACATTGTTTACAACTTATTTTCAGTGCTGTTTTTCAGTCTGGGTGGTCATTGAAACTGACATTTTTCTTTCTCATCTCTTCTTGCCAGTATTGTTTTTTCAGTAACATCCAAGGCCACCAGTGGAGACAGAGTGAGGGCTGGTGATTATGTGCTCAAGACAGGAGATATATTAGAGAGTTGGACAATGACATTTTGTAAAAGAGACATAAAACTGTATGTTTCACTTATTTATACCCCCCCAGCTGGGAAGAGTTTGAAACAATCTAGGATTTTTTTCTTTGAAAAGAATATATCTTTTTCATAAGGACTGTGTAAATAGTATTTTTTTTTAAATCATAATTACATTCTTTCTCTTGCTCTTCTGGCTGAAAGACTTAAAACGATAATTGAGATGAGACATTTTTAACTTTCTAATGCTTACAAGATGATACAGCTAAATCATAGTCTAGCAAAAAGATTATATATGAAGAAGCATTAAATAATTTTAACTCAAGTTTAAAAATCTCAAAAGTGAGGTTTCCTCCTGATCTCAGAAGAGTTTTTCGTATATTTTCTTCTAGAATTTTTATAGTTGCATGTCTTACATTTAAATCTTTTATTCATCTTGAATTAATTTTTGTATATGATGGGAGATAGGGGTCCTATTTCATTATTCTGCATGTGGCTACCCAGTTTTCCCAGCACCATTTATTGAATAAGGCTTCCTTTTCCCAGTGTATGGTGTTGTTGAAGATCAGTTAGTTGTAGGTAGATGGTTTTATTTCTGAGTTCTCTATTCTGTTCCATTGGTCCATCTCTACTTTTATACCAGTACCATGATGTTTTGGTTACTATAGCCTTGTAGTATAATTCGAAGTCTGGTAATGTGATGCCTCAAGATTTGTTCTTTTTGGCCAAAAATTGCTTTGGCTATTCAGGCTCTCCCCCCATTAAATTGTTAAAAACTAATGAAAAAGATGTCTGCATGTTATCTTTAGCATCTGTGTTAAGATTTTAATTTTGATATTGCCTGTTAAAATTATATATTTTAATTTTATATTTAATAATGCAAATATTAATACTTTTTTCCCCTTCTCATAGGAATGGAAGATGTCACATGTGATAGAACTGAGTTCTTGAGCAATTATCTGACTAATGTGGATGATATTACTTTAGTGCCTGGAACTCTAGGAAGAATTCGATCCAAATTTAGCAATAATGCTAAATGTAAGTTGATTCTTAAAATATTGAGTTGTTACAGTGATAATACAGTGGAGTTGGTAAAGGCTTGTTTTCTAAAGCTGAAATATTTGGGTAAAAATTCTAGGTCTGCTACTGCTTAGCTGAGTGACCTTAAATAAGTCATTTAAATGCTAAGCCTCAGTTTTTTCACCTGAAAAATGGGGATGCTAACTAACAGTAGCTATCTCATAAGGCTGTTGTGGAAATTAATCTACATATATTGCTCAGAGTGGATCCTGGCACATAGTAGCATTATGTAAATATTTGCTTTTGTTTTTATCTTGTGGAAATTGCACTTAATTTTAAGCATGTTTATAACCATAAACTTCTGTTTATAAGAGAAGAAGTTTTCAACAAGAAGTTCAGGCTGGTGCTTTAGCTGAAACTTCAGGGTCTATGACAAGGTTGGCAGAACCACATCTGGACCCTGGGGGTTCCTAGGAACCTTGTGGAAGGAGGGTCTTCCCCTTTGTAAAAGTGATTAGCACAACCTGGGAGGAAAAAATATTCAGCCCTTGGGAAGTGGCAGCTGTTCTGAAAGATTAGAAATAAAATAAACAGGAATAATCTCGTCACTTGCATTTTACATGTTTGAGTTATGGTATGCCACTGATAAGAACTTTAATTTGTGAACTAAAAGATTTAAGGGGCTCCCCACCTGGCTTTTAAGAAGTCCATAGTTTTATTTGGGACATGCTATATTTTGAAAAAAAAAAAAGTTATCTAGAGTTTTTACCCTTGGGAATAAGAAACTATTGACACCAACCTCAAAGCTTTGGAAAAATTAAGTTTTTCCCAAGTTACATTTGTGAGTCAACACAAATGGGAACTGTTCCAAGGTCAGCTCCAGGCAACATTTGAAATAAACAGAATGTGGGTGTTTCTGCCTTCTCGTCTCTATGCCTTTAATGTCCTCTGTGTCCTCCTTCCCTGCCCACTTGAGATAGGCAGGCCCTCACCATAGACTGGATGCAGTTATCATGGCACCTCTCAAATTTAGTGTTTGCATTTTAGGGACATACAAGAAAGATTTTGTCTATTTTGAATGGTATTTATGATGTCAGTAAATGTAATAGGGAAATTCTTTTAAGGGGAAGAAAAACTTTCCTAAGGCCCATGAAATAATGACTACCAATAACGAAATGTTTTGTACTTTGCAAAACACTTTGCAATGTGATTTCATTTTGTGGGAGACAGTAGAGTGGGATGGTGAAGGGCACAGGTGTCTGGGTTTAAATCCCAGCTCTGCCAGGGACTCCTTTGTGATGTTGGATACGCTACTTAAACACTCTGTATTTCAGCTTCCTCACCTGTAAAATAAGTATTGCTGGGAAGACTAAATGAAAGATTGTGTAGATATAACTTAGATCAATATTTAGCACATAGTCAAAGCTATATAAATACTAGCTATGACAGTGTCTTGGTCATATCACTATTTCAGTTATATATATATTTATATGTACACACAATCTTACTTAATCCTTTTAATAGCCATGTGTGATAAAGATAACTCCCAAGTTTATATCTTCACCCCAGGTCTGTTCTTTGAGGTCCAGGCCCGTCTTGCCAACAGCCTATTTAATGTTTTCATGTGGAGGTCTCAAAGGCACCTCAAACTCAGCATGTCCAAGACTCAATAACCTTATTATCCACTTTGTAGACAGTAAAAATCAAGGCTCAAAGAGGGGTAAAGGAATTGGCTTGGAAGATGACAGTAAGTAGCAGAGCTGGGATTTAAACCCAGATTCGTAGATTCTGAACTACACCCCTTTCGTCACACCAAGTGGGGACTGTTAGCATGAAAGAAAGGACTAAATTCTTCAGAACTGAAGAGCTGGTGTCCAAAAAATGGACTTGAGCATTTGCTATTTTATAATCCTCTGGAATTTTTCTGAGTACATGCTATTTATTTCTCTTCATTATCAAAGAACATGAACTTTGTTTGTTCCCTCAGAGGACTTTGGTTTATGAGGCCACAGAGTATAGAGGCTCAAGGCACAGCTTGCTCAGTCAGTTTGGTCCCAGTGTGCCAGCTCCTCCACCTTCTGAACACCACTGGCTTGATGAGGGTTCTGACAGCATTTACCTCCCAGGGTTGTGAATAACCAGACAGAAAGTGCCTGCAAAGCTCTAACAGAGAGACAGGTGCATAGTATGGATTCAATTTGGGTTAACCATTACTGCTACCATTATTACTCATTCACTTTCCAGTAAAAGGTGTAATTAAAATTTAAGCCCAATGGAATCCCCACTTTAGCTTTGGATTTCAAGCTTTAGAACTAAGATTCTGAAAATAGTCTTTGGAGTGTGTCTATTTGTACCCTAAGAGGCGCTCTTATTCATGCATTTTAACAAATATGAACAAATATTTATTAATGTTATTAACAAATGTATACTGAGGGCTTATGATGCACCAGGCCCCATGGATGCACCTGCAAATGACAGCAACAAGGCCTGCTCTGCTGGCATTCATATTCCAGGAAGGACTGCATCGTGACAGATGGTATCTCTTCTGAACACTGCTCTCCTTTCCTACTGATTCTGTAATGACATTCTGAAGCACATTTTTTGAAAACAAAATAAAATCCAAACAACCTACAATCTCCTCTTTCTCCCTACACCCCCCTAAAAGGGACCCTCAGATAATATAATCCTGTCCACAGTTTATCCTGCACAGCCATCATTTACATAGTTTTGCTTTTAGCTAGTTCAGAGTATTGACGAAAATATCCTTTAATGCTGCCCATGAAAATAAAGAGGTCCACACACGTGTGTGTTTATGGCTGGAGAGGAGTGGCTACCTATACAATTAGACCCACGATATTACTAAGGAAACAGAACTCTGTTTAAAAAAAATAACTCAATGGATTAGAAGATTCGTCTTAAAGTGGATGATGACCTGTTTCAAAGATCTGCAGATAAATAGGAAGTTACATTAAAAGCCCCAAATGCCCAGTTTAGCTCCTGAGGTTAAATTGCAAATAAACTAAGTCTCCAGAGGAACCATTTAGGGGAACTTGAAGAAGCAGTTTACCTAGCAGTATCCTGGTGCTATGGAAGGAAACATTCCCTTCGGAAGAGGAGACCTGAATCTAGTGAAGTTCACTACAGGATTTGTTCCACTTGTTTAACTGCATTTCAATTACGAAATGCTAAATACCTGCACACAATTGCAAACAAAACGCTACAGTGATAGTCCTTCTGGGTGGTGGTGGAAGAAAGAATTGAGTATCTTGCTGCAAAAATGATTTCTCTCAGTGATTATTATTCTCTCTTTTGAAATCTTTCTCCTTCTCTCTTTGAACAGATGACCCTAAAGCCATTATTGCTAATCTCACAGTAAGTGTTGCAAGTCACCAGGCCCCTGCCCCCATCAGGCCTCTGGGCTCCCCTCCTGTGTTTGCCTCCCTGTAGGGCAGCGGGAACATTTTCCTCACTGCCCTGCCATCCCATATATTTGTTTCCTTAAGAGCTTTCAAAACTTCTGGCCTGTGGTCAGCTGCAGGCTCCCTAATGGTCTTGGCAATGATACAAACTGAGAATATTTGATCCTCCCATTAGAACTGAAAAGTATTCATTCATGATTAAACAAATCTTTACTTTCTCTGAACCAGATCTGCCTACCACGCTGTTCCATTGTTCCTGGATGCAGGCTAGAGACCTTAAAAGCACATGAGCATTAATCAGAAAGGTCTGAAAGTGTGTGCTCCTTCCTACTTCCCGCCCCCATCCTTCACTAGAAGCAATAGGGAAAGCCCTCAGAGTTTGACTTGCTCTTAGTGATGGTCTCATTAAGTTAGGAATGTATCTTAAAATTCCTAACTCTCCTCTGATAGCCTGGCATTTCATCTCCAAAGTTATCTAATCCCCTTTGAACTTAATTGTTTGAAGCATGTATTTGATAGGGAGCAACAAATTCCATTTATTCACTAGCCAACCTTTTGCTTGGCTTAAAACCTCCTTCAACTTATTAGAGATAGAATATCTAAGACTTTTTCTAGAAGACATTCCATCTAGAGTCTTAATTTCCATTTCTGTTTCAGTGTAAAAAACCAGATCAGCACTTTAAACCTTACATGAAACAGCACCTTCCCAAACGCTTGCACTACGCCAACAACAGAAGAATTGAGGATATCCATTTATTGGTGGACCGCAGGTGGCATGTTGCAAGGTAACTAGGGGATGGGCTGTCCCTGTTTCTCATCTTCACAACCACTCTTTTGGCAACTGGGAATGTTTTAAGGTCCTTAGTTATCATTAAAAGAAATCTCAGTTGGAAATCTTGCTGTTTCCAACGATTTTGTGGGCTAGATAAACAATTAGTGCTGAGACAATATATCTCTGTGTTCTGGGTCTTAGTATCTGAATGTCTCTTTATAGTCTCTCAGTGCATCTGTGTGTGTGTGTGTGTGTGTGTGTGTGTGTGTGTGTGTGTGATCACTTTCATTTTTTGAATTTATATTCTAACCTCTATTCTTATTACTTGAGTAAATCAAAAGTATAACTGGGACCTTGCCCTAGCATGCTGGGCTAATTTGGTCTCAGCTGATGAGACTTCGCCTGTACCAGTGTTTATAGAAGACTTCGGAAAATGTTGTTCATCTTAAAACCTCTATTATCGTGAACATGTTTTATGTCACTTTAAATATTTCAGATGTTTTCCTTCTTTTGAACTACAAAAGACTCCCCAATATTGAAGAGACTATTCCTTCCTTTTTAATCTGATGTAGGACATGTCCAGAGACTTGAACTACTTCCAAACAGTTGATTATTAAAGGTTTATACATTTTCGTACAGACCTGGAAGCAGCCCTTTCCCACTCTCTCTTCCTCCAATGTTCTCTTTATGAAAAGTTTTGTGAAGCAGTCTGTAGCAATAATTGAACAACTGCTACATGCATTCTGCTAGGTATTCTTAGTTTACAAGGGAGAGAAAATAACCAGAAAAATGTTTGTTCTCTGGGAACTTGTATCAATATGGAACACATGAAAATACATAAATATACCCTAATTTTATAAGTGGGTAGAGTTAAATATGTGGGAATATGATGAGAGATGTATGAAGAACAGAAATTATTGAAATCATGTAGAACAGATATGGGAAATCCTCATGGAAAAGCTATAGAGATGCAACTAATTGGCTGAGTACGTTCTCTGCAGCGCCTTTTATGGTATGGGGCAGCATGGAAAAGTTGGTGGGTTCATAGGAAGGAAAAAGGAGAGTTGAGTAGAAGTTAAGCAAAAGACAAAGGCAGTTGAGCAAATTAGTGTGGACCAAAGCCAGGTATGTTAATTAAGCAGTAAATCTTTTGATTTTAACTCTTGTATTGTCGAGGTATTATATGCAAATATCTTATTTTCCCAAGCCCTAGGTACTTTTCCTAAGAGTGGAGACCCCTATGATAAATTTCTTTGTTCTCCCTAAGCACTTTACTTCAGTGCTATGTACCTTGGAAGTATTTAGGAAATGTTTGTATTAAATAAACATGAAAGATTTTTTGGAAAAGGGCCACATGATACTTATGCAAAAGATATCTTCCTGTCACAAAAAGAAAGGTCAAATGGTCTTGATGTCTAGATAGCAATGTTTCCATTTTCTATTTCTAAATAGAGATCTTGTCTAGGTGAGGCCAGGCTTTTTTAAAAATAGATCCCTATTACTGTTAAGTTGACCACTCAGTTATACTCTAGCTATATTGTAATGATGGGTAAATTTGCACGTCAACATTTTTATAGAATAGAGATCTCCATTCATTGATGAAACAGAATATATTTAAAAAGTGCCTCCCTAGGCATTGAACCTAGGGAGGGTTCTGTAGAAGTGAACCGGACACACATCATCCTATAGTTGAGATTCTTACAGTCTCAGAGCTAGTGAAGCACACAGGCAGAGCACTGCCTATGACAAATGCCCTGCTCGGTGTAAGCACAGGTTCGATGAGGCCACCACAACTTCTGTTTACAGGCCCCCATTTATCCTGGGTGATTGACAAAGCAAAAGCACTTGGAGAAATGAACAGAATTATCTTTTCATCACTGTAGGAATGATGTAATTAGAGACAGGCTTTCAAAAACCCCTTCTTAGAGATTCTTTGTACCCTGAAATTAGCATTTTATCAGAGTGATTTTGTGAGAGATCCTGACCATAAAATCGTTTCAATGTAGGAAACCTTTGGATGTTTACAAGAAACCATCAGGAAAATGTTTTTTCCAGGGAGACCATGGATTTGATAACAAGGTCAACAGCATGCAGGTATGATAGCAGAACAGGGAATTGAAATTGTGTTTTTAGTGATTCTTAGAAAGCATGGGAAATGGTGGTGTGCATGAAGTTGCACAGTATTCATAAATAGAGGGAGAGGTGCTATCAAACAATGTTTAATTGCTTTTGTTTGTTTTGTTTCTTTTTGGAAGACTGTTTTTGTAGGTTATGGCCCAACATTTAAGTACAAGACTAAAGTACCTCCATTCGAAAACATTGAACTTTACAATGTTATGTGTGGTAAGTCACATATGTAATCAAAACCAAGGAAACAATGATTAGTTAATATATGAACTTCCTCAATGTCAGAGAAAGAAATGAGGTGTCCATCTTCTGGGACCACCTTTTCTCCCCATAGGAAAAATGTTGTAACTTGCCCATCGGTTCCAAAGGCAGAATATCAAATCCTTCTAAGGCGTCTTTGTCTTCCTTCAACAGTTGGCTAATGGGTGTTTCTGTTGGCAGCCTCTGGCTGATCCAATATAGCATTACAGCTTGACACCATTGGTCAGAGACCTGCTGGAGCAAGAGTTCCACACAGAGCCCTCTCCCAACTCCATCTCTTGCATTGCAGCCCAGTTAAAATTTTGCCAGCTTGCATCCTGGCCAGCTATTTATGTGCACCTAATTATTTTTCTTCTTTGAGCTTCTAGTTGTTGAATGAGGACAACTTTTCCTATTTAGTAAGGGAGTGCCAGTCTGGTGGTTAGAGGGGGAGTCTGCAAGTCGGGTCTCCTGGGTTCTTTTCCCATCTTGGCTGCTAGCTCTCCCCTGTCCTGCCTCCGAGCTTAGGCAAGGCACTGTGTGCCCACTTGGCAACCATTCACTTGCTATGAAATCAGCCTGTTCATCTCACAGTGGCACTTCAGGGCACACAGCCAAAGCCTCCTCTTGTCCCCACACTTCTGTGGAGTGCCTTAGAGGGCAGACATGGTTATTCATTGATTGTAAGCCTCATTTCGAAATTTGGGATTAAAAAGTCCCAGAGAAGTGCAGAAGGATAGTGATACTGACACTAATAATCCTTGGGTTGTAACTATCACAGACATAGGCAATGGCTAGTTTAGGCTTTATTCCTTCACTCTTTCTTTGTGAGAATGTTTCTCTCTATTCATGGTGGAGCAATGAACATGGCTATTTCAGAAAGCTGTGGCAAGACATGGTCAGGCCAGAATGGTTCAGGAGGTAAGAAGGGGGTGCCTGCCAGGTAAATTTGGTTTTATCCAATTCTGATTTATGTTCAGAGTTTTCAGACTCTTAGAAGGTGAAAGGTTTTGATCTTACCATATCTCATCAAAAAAATTTAATAAGCACCTGCCTCTTTTTCATTATTTTCATCAGATCTCCTGGGATTGAAACCAGCTCCTAATAATGGGACCCATGGAAGTTTGAATCATCTCCTGCGTACTAATACCTTCAGGCCAACCATGCCAGAGGAAGTTGCCCGACCCAATTATCCAGGGATTATGTACCTTCAGTCTGATTTTGACCTGGGCTGCACCTGTGATGATAAGGTAGAGCCAAAGGTAGAAATAATCTTTATGTTTCTCATGGAGGACCTTGGTGGGTGTGTAACAGGACTGTACAGTAGCACTTTCTGTGATGGTGGAAATGGTCGATAGTTGTGCTGTCCAAAATGGTAGCCACTGGCTGGTGTGACTGACGAATTAAAATTTGAATTTAGTTACTTTAAATGTAAAGAGCCATATGTGGCTTGTGGTTACCATATTGGACAGCTCAGATATAGAGGAGGAAGGGTAAAAAGTAGAATTCATGATGCTATTCTGTGGAGTCACAGTTCCCATCTAAAAACTTTTTCTGTTTTTTTAAGCCATGGATCATGTGTCTATCAGTCATGGTCCCAACAGGAAACAGGTGAGCCATGTAGAAGAGGTTTTGAAAGAGAGTTTAAAGAAATTGTTACAGTCATGCTTAATGAGAGAACTATTTACAAAGGCTGGGAAGGGTGAATGGAAGTCAGTAAAGAATGATGAAATGCCCTGGGGTTAGCAGGATACCCTCCGAGTCCTGTAGGGTGAGGGAAGAGAGCAAGTTGCCAGAGCATGGAGAAGGAGCTGAAGAGGAAGGAACTATTGTATCTGGTAGATGAGTGCAACTCATACACCGCCACCCAGCAGGAAAAGAGCTGGGGGAGTTTTCCCTCATCTCTTTCCCCTCTACTTCCTTGCAGATGTCACTTATTGGGAGAGCCCAACGGGAAGCCACAGGGCAAGTTTACATGGATGTGGTCACTAGAGGTCAGTCTCCAAGGACACAGAGCAGGATAGAGAAGAGTCCAACATGAATGTGGTGGTGGTCCCATACACCATGTTTGGACAGTTTTTGAATACCAAACAAACTACAAATATTAAGCAATACTTTACTTACTGAATTTTATATTGATCAAAGACCTTTACAGCTGCCAACCAGTGTTTCTATAGCAGGAATTAACTAGAGTTACCGCACTGAGTTGATATGATGCCAGCCCAACACAAGGAAATATGGTATTTTTGCATGTGTGGTTTTATTATGGATAAATGTGTGATTTTTCTATTAGGCCTCAGAAAAATGGAACATCATTCTCCTACTGCCTTATCTCCTTCCTCTACAATTTGTTACCCTCCAGAATTCCTAGGGGCCTAGGAGCCACAGTTTGGGAGGCTTGCCACTGGCGGAATTCAGATTGCTCTTCTTCCCCACTCCGCTATTTTTTTCTCCTTCCTGCTTTTGCTCCTGACAAGAAGTAAGAAGGCTAATTACTATAGGGCAGGTAATGCTCAGACCTTAGCTGGAGGAGTTGAGTTGCAAAGTCAACAGGGAGTAGTCTTGGGAAGTAGATCCCAAATATAATTTTAGAGGAATCCACTTGTTGTACTGTATCTTGTTTTCTGAATTACCTTTCTTCTGAAGAACAAGAAATCTTTTGGATATCTTGTCTTAAGCCATTTTAGAGAAATTCTGAATTATCTTTGTCTATGAGTTTCTCCAAAAGATTGCCTTCCTTCTATTAAAAAAAAATTCTAGACATACTGAGAAGGTATAGAGATTAATAAAAAAGAATACATCAGTATATACATAAGAAAGAAAACATTTGAGATTCAGTGGAAGCTTCCTGAATCCAACTCCATCCTATTTGCTTCCTACCCAGAGGTAACTAGTATCCTAAATATAGTGTGCATAATTCCCATGCCTGTCTCTGTACTTATATACTCCATATGTATGTATCCCTAAAATATCCCTAAATATCCCTAAAATAATATATTAAATAATCTTTGGTTTCCTAAAATAACCTACAGTATAGTTTTGCATATTACAAATTTTTATGTAAATGCTATTATACTATATGTATCCTGCAATTATCTTGTTCATCATTATGTTATTGAGGTTTATGCATATTAATACATGAAGTTTTAGCTCACTCACTTTTACTGCTAATGCAGCAGTGATATTTAATTGTATAAATATACCATAATGATTTTATTCCTTTTTCTATTTGAGAACATTGGGTAATTTCCAAATGTTGCACTTACAAACAATGCTGCTGCAGATGTTACTGCAGATGTCCTCTTGTGTGCATATGCTAGAGCGTCTCTAGGGTATATAGTGAAGGGCGGAGTTGCTGAGCCATTACTTTTCTGAATTATTGAGTCCTTACTTTTTAGCTTTGGAAAAATTGATTTCATAAATTGGTTTGAGAATCACTTTAGTGTACCTAGGGATTAACATGAAATATTGAGGCATTATTCTAATTATTTACATACATGTGCCCAAATAATCATCATTACCAACATGGTAAGTTGGTTCCACAGTTTTAAGGGAAGGAAACAGAGTTATGGAGAAATTAAAGAAGGTGCTTATAGACATAGAACTACTAGCAAGTGGAGCCTAGAATGTCAATTTGAGATACAATAGTAATTCCTCAAAAGAATTTATGCTACTGATAGAGTTTAGGATCCTCTTTTGAATTTAGCAGGGTGCTAAGTACAGAGAAGGGTACAGGAAAGAAAGAGCATTTCTGATTTACTTTCTTTTTTCCTTTACTGGTTTTCACAAATGAAGAACAAATTGGATGAACTCAACAAACGCCTTCATACAAAAGGGTCTACAGAAGGTAAGGGATTGATGGAACAAACAATCAGATAAATTTTTTCTAGTTTTCAAAAATTGAAGAGACTTCTTATTTACTTTATAATGTAAGCCCAATATTTTTTAAAATTCAAACTTGTATTGCAGCATGATTTTTACATCTATCTGGCAAAGGGTATTAGTTTATTCTATGTGTACTAGATGTCAGTTGTGCAATAGAAACATTCCATTAGCTTTTTTTTTTTTCTCCTCAATAGCTTTAAAGCCCTCTGAGAAATGGACAATCCATTGTGCATTTGGTAGGTCATAAGTTAAGGTGCTATGGGCCTTCTTCTAACGGGTAGTCACAGTTATAAGTAATAGCAGCTGGTACCTATGTGAAGCTCACCTTCCTGGAGAGTCCATGTGTATATTGTGGTGGGGGGAGATACTCAAAAAGAATCAAATCAGAACTCCATCTTCACATAAGGGATCGTCTTGAGCCCTAACTATTATTTTATGTACAATGACAACATGCATGTATTAATGAACTTTTGCAAGTTTGCAAAAAAGAATCTCAATGATTGGCATCAAGAGAGATGCATTTCTTGCTCACATTTTAGTATGCTGACTGAAGGCCAAGGGGGCTCTGCCACATGTGTACTCTTTTTTAAAAATTTGTATGAATTTACAGGGTACAAGTGCAATTATTTTGCATGTGCAGGTCATGTAGTGATCAAGTCAGGGCTTTCAGGATATCATCACCCAAATTATATACATTGTACTCATTGAATAATTTCTCATACGCACTCTCCTCCCACTGTTTACCCTTCCAAGTCTCCTTTATCTATTATTCCACTCTCTCATTATTCTGGAATCCAGGCTGAAGGAGGAGACCCTATTGGGGACACGTCCTTTTCATGGCAGAGGGAACAGAGGGACCACAAAACTGTGTGCTGGGTCTCAATGTTTCTGCTTTTATGAGGCCACTTGCACTCACAGTTCACTGGCCCAAGCTGTGCACATGACGTCTCCTACAATGGTGCAGGGAAGTCTATTTTTTCCAGAAGGTCTCTATCCCGCAAGTCAAATGGCAATGAGTAGAGGCAGTAAACACAGTAATACAATTCCCCACACAAGCTCTTGCTTCTGATTTTGAAAATCCAGAAAATTACAAGATAATAGAAGGGAGGGAAAAGTTCCTAGACAGGTTACTGCAGTAGATGGGATAGCATGTTCAACAGCAAGTAAATGACTGAAAGTGTATTTAAAAAGTGATAGAACCTAAGCACAGCATCCTCGAGTCATGCAATAGAGATGCACACAGCCAAATTCTCCTGAGAGTATCACCTGCGTTATTAGCTTACATATGGTTCTGTTTATCATATGTGCTGTTTCCAATCTGATTAAGTAGAGTTGAAGAAACCAGTAGGACATTTTATTTGCTTGACTTATTTTTCCCCTTTAGAAAGATCTTCATCTGCCTCCTTCTTCTTCCGTATCACCACCACCACCCTTCTCCCTTTGATCATAGAACACACAGACTTGTAGGTATGTCATTGGAGGAACCTAGCTTTGAAAATAGGCCTTTGTTGGTGGAAGGTACACAAATCCTTCACAAACTCTACAAGTGTTTTTGAATGTTTGACACCTAATCTCCAGCGGACTATAATTATAATTATAATTAGAAAAATTGAAACATTGCCAGAGTCAAGGGTTGGGGAATCTCATGATTCAAGATTTTCAAATAATCCATAACCAAGGCAGAGGAATAATAATCAGATGTTTCACTTCTCAAGCTCATGAGGTTGTTAATTATGATAACTTTAACTTTTATTGGACTCCCATGTTTTTGTTGATTCAAACTCTGGCTGTTCATGATACTAACACATTTCTGTCTGAGAAAAAAAATCCCTACATTTGGTTTGTTGGTGGCAGAGTGCTCATATGACAAAACCAGTCCCACAAACTCAGCATAAATGGTGATCTCAAACTTCTAAGCTTAAGAGTAAGAAGTATCTTCTTCATGAATCACTAACTCTCAAGGCTGGGAGGCTAGTTCAGTGACGTCACATCTCTGTTCAGAGTTGAATGTGTCTTATTTATATCACTGAAGTGTCTTTTTACACCTCTAAAGCTTAAAGTTTATGTGTTTTCATGGAAATGGACCCTCGTGGATTTATTCAGCAAGCATTTGTTGAGTGTATACCCTGGGCTGGCACTGGTTTCTCTGAGACAACTGTGCCACTGTTGGCTCATGAACCCATGGCTTCAATGGTGGCATAAAATATGAGGGGAGAATCAGAGTAGTACATGCCCTTGGTCTGCCCGTGTCCCCGTGGGACCAGCTTTTAATGATACCAGAGAGACTTGAAAAGTATAACATGAAATAAAAATTATTATTTATCATTATGTTACTACGTTCAAAGCATTTCCATGTTTAGACTCTGGAATATGTATCAACCTAATACTTTCTCTCTTGCCCCTCTCTCCCTGTCTCTTTGTCTCTTGGTCTCTGTCTTCTTATGGGCTCTATTTCAGTCGTTTGATTAGCTACAAAGCAATATTTTCTTGGTTGGAGACCTTTCAGGGCTTTATGATGTTTCCTGCATCATAAATTCAGTCTCCCATTCAAAATATTTAATGTCTGCTTTACTAGAGTAGGACCTTGTGAATGTGGATCACTTTGTGTATTACTTTCAGAGTAATTATATCACCTTTCTGGATCCTTTTAAACACGTAGTGAAGCTTTTAAAACAGTTTGTAAACCTAAAGTTCTGTGCAGTTTTAAAGTTTTACTATATTTATTATCAGTTTTTTTAAACACAAATGTAAGTAGTTGATTTTTTTCAGCATGTCTTATGCTGTACACATTTCACTTGTAACATTCGTATGTGCCTGTTTTAGGTCATATGCTATAAAATCAATCATACATCTATACAAAATACATGTATAAAAGCTATATAAAACATATGTTTCATCCCCTGGTGAAACAACCCAGGGGATATCTGAGGTTTAAAAAAAAAGGAGAAGTATATTAAATTAATCTTGGACAGTATTTTTCTCTAAATATTTAAATTGTTATGAAATCAAGCCCTTTACTAAAATGAAGAGGAAGAAAAATATACTCTTGAAAAGCAGTGATCCAAACTACTTGCTAAAGCTTTAATATTTTTAGATATGTGGTAGATTCTGGATCTTAATTGCATGACTGTTGTTATTTCTGGATCACACATACCTTACGTCTTGGCAGACTCACCATGCTATGAAAACTCATTTCCTTGTGACTTCAGATTAATGGTGAATGAATGAAAGAAAAGAAAAAATTTAAATCTCTCATAGCAAGCAATGCTGGCACTATAGCCAAGTATAATTTTCACTGTAATAATAATTGCACCATTTATTTTAACCTTAGTGTTTTCTCTATTTACATTGAGATAAAAATGTTTCATATTTCCTTAGGTTATCACTCACTATCATCTTTGTGTAAAAAGGAATTTAAAATAATTTTAACACCTATGTATGTTTGGCTCTTATCTTACACAATGAGAAGTGGTTTGGATAGAAAAAATGACTTACACACTAAGAATTCATGTTAACCTTAAAGCAGAGTCCTGAGTATGGCTAGAGAAGGAATCTTCACTGTAGCTCTTTTCAATTCTGAAATGTTTCTCATTTTTGTTATTTCTTTGGAGATATTGGTTGTACTAAAGAAAGAAGGAGATATACTCATGTTTTTTTGTGTTCGTGTCTGTGTATATATGTCTGTGTTTTGTGAAATACCTGGAAGAAATCAATACATAGCATAATTGTTTATGATTTATAGTAGAATTCAAGGTGAATTTGATGATAGATTGAATTTTATTTATATTAACCTTTACCTACCAGTATTCTTTGCTGATATTGAAGTAGAGCACAAACCCTTTATTAAACACTCCAACTACAACTACTTTGGGTCAAGACTGTACTAGGCGCTTTGCATATTTTGCCCCTAAACAGTGCAGCATTCCAGTGAGATATAAAGCTTTGAAAGGTTAAGTTACAGAGGTACAGAGCTATAAGGAGCTAAGATGAGATTTGACTCCTGTTTCATATGACATTAAAGCCTGTGTGTCTTTCTTCTAAAAATGCTTCATATTCTAAGAGTTGGAACAAAGAGAATATATCAAGAGAGGATTTCGGTGTATATCAGGGTTTGGAAGTTATTTCTGAAATACTAGATGCTTTGATACAAACTGCTGTCCTCATTAGCTTTTCAGTAGGCATTACTCGGGCAGAGCTCATGCCCAGGAGTACTCAGACTTTCATTTTAGTTTGCCCTCCATTAGAATAACGCAGCAGTCAGCATCCATCAGGAGACCACCCCAAAGACTAAGGAGAAGAATGATGGAGCAGGAGGATGGAAGTCTAGATTCTGGGTGCTGCTATGCAGCTGAATTATTTTGTACAAATCCTAGACCTCCAGTTCCTTCATCAGTGCAATGGAGATCATGCTGATCTACCCAGTCTATCTCTCGGGGTTATATTAGGCAGGTCCTATGTAGAAAGCCAATATTTTAAAAAAACATTAATTTATCATTAAGTATTTACCAAGTAGATATTATGTGATTGGCATTGTTGGAGATGGAGCATACAGTGGTGCATGAAACAGAGAAAGTCTCTGTCCTCACAAAGTTATTGTTTTGTTGCAGGATTTAGCTAGTTGATGAATTAATTACAGCATAATGTTTTAAGGGTTGAGGTAACAAAGAACAGGGCACTAATAGGTACTCGAATCAAATCTCAGAGGAGGTTAAAATGAAAGCAAATGATAGTAAGCACTTGTAAGGCAAAGGAGGAGAAGGGATGCGGGAAAAGGAAAGACCTTGGGTAGAGATTTTGTGGTAAAGTTTAAGAGCACATTATTGTGGGAGTGAAAGATTTTTTTTTAAAAAAGGAGAGATTTTCATGTGGTTCTCAAGTCAGCCAGCTAATCTGTGGGAATATGAATCAGGAAGCTGAGGAGGGAAAAGAAACACAAACTCATGTCTGTATGACCAAATTTTGGAAGACAAAAAGAATAAGTGCTGGGGAAGTCCACACCACTTAAAAGGTTTGCCTTACAATATTTTGCCAAATGTGGTATCTGGAGGGAGAACCTTGGCATGTACCAAAAATGCCAGAGACACTATTGTAAACAGGGACCTGGGGTGTGGAATGCAGGCTCTGTCTGGAGTTCAACGACAGGCATTCCCAGCCTGGGAAGGAAGGCTCTGTCGGGAATTCTATGACAAGAACCCAGCCTGGGAAGACACGGGCTGCACTAGATCCACATAAAGAAAAACCTGGGCATATGTTGCAAAAGCAGAGGCTTGAAAGCGAGTCTCCATGGTTGTTGATCTTGAGATAAAGGTCCTAACATGGGTAAACACCAAGGTTCAAGTATTTTGTGGCCTGAATAGGGACTTTCTTCTAAATAGAAAAGCAACAGATGCCTCACCCAGGATGTCCTAAGGGCTAGCTGAGTCAGGCTATGACCAAGAACCTGTGATTCTTTGATACTTAGAAAAACTAAAAAAAGAAAATAATAAAATCTAAATTTTGATTCTAGACCTTAAAATTCTTACCGCAAAGATTATTTTATCTCTTTTTTAGATGAAACTATTAGGCTTCAGGAAGACTCAAGTAGATTTTTTGGGGTCATTGGGGACGTTGGTTGGATTTTGCCAAAGCCACTATATATATTTTTTCTTAATGCCATTTTTGCCCAGTAACAATTGAGAAAAAGTCAGTCAGATAATGATATATTTGTGCTCCAGCTGTGTGCCAAAAACTGTATTTAGTTGTGTGTGACAATAGCTTGCAAGCTGTGAAGCCCAAATTTCTGAAGCAAGTTGAGTCTCTCTGTGTAGAGCAGAAGAGTGAATAGAGATGGAGAAGCTTAATTGGGAAACTTTTTCAGGAGAAAATGAATCTAAGAAAGTGTCTCTTCCCCTCTTGGACTTCCTCTCCCTTACCCCCTCATGTCTCTTCCATGAGCTGAACTATGTAACCATATTATTTGTCATGCACTTCTGAGTATGAAAAGGGATATTGTTAACAATTACGCCAGGCCAAAAGGCATCAAGGTGACATGGGGTCACCTTGGTTTAACTTCTTGTGCTCTGTAAAGGACTTTACAGATGCCACCTTGCCCCTCGACCCTGTTGGAAGCAGTCCTCATCCTCTGTGTTCCCATCACACTCTGCAGCTATCTTTGACGTAGTGCAGACCACATTGCCTCTCAGTTATTTGTGCCATGTTTGTCTCTCCCGCTGAACTGTGAGCTCTTTGAGGTTGAGAGCTCTGTGTTAATCATCTTCACCCAGTATCTCCATTCTACAGCCGAAGGCCTGGCACAAAGGAAGTGCCCAGTCAGAGTTTGATGATGAGGAATACATTAATAGAAATATTTGGAAGGAGATAGGTGACAGCATTGGTGAAGAAGACTGGAAAATTATTCCTGGTACAGAGAAAGGAAATATAGTAACATGTCTAATAGCATAGAATTGCTCACAATGATCACGAGCAGTGTTGCAAATAATTCCGTCTTTGTGGGATGGAACATTATGGGGAGGAGAATGTCAAGAAATGAGCAGGACTGGGGGAAGAGCCAGAATGGGTGGAAACTATAGATTGTCCAAGTCTCTTGTTTGGTGGCTGCTCTGAGGAGGGGTATTATGTGTAGAAACATGGATACTATATTTTGCTGTCCCCCTAATGCAATGGATTGGATCCTAAGCTTGAATTTGAGTTTGGAGGAATGTGTTTGGTATGCATTAAAACTTGAATGATAAAAAGAGAATAGCTTCTCAAAGAATTTTGGTACTTCTGCTTCCAGCTGAAACCAGGAAGTTCAGAGGCAGCAAAAATGAAAACAAGGAAAACATTAATGGATATTTTGAACCTAGAAAAGGTTTGGTTTGAGTTTTGAAGGAAAGTCTGAGTTGGTTAACAGCCCTCAAGTACTACTGTTATGATTTGCTGGCTTTTTATTTGTTTATTATATTTCATTTATTTAATAGTGTCATATTATGTTCTAATTCTTCGGGGTGGGTCCCTAAATTTGGCAGCTTAACCAAGGCTTCTGCATTTACTGCAATGCTGAAGAAGCCAAACTACCCAGAACAGGCTTGTGTTGTAATGGCGTGGGCCACTTTGCCTCAAATCAGCAGTTCTACTTGGGAGGGTCTTGCAAAGTATTCCACAAAGGGTTTTCTCCATTACTTGCATAGAATGGTAACACTTTATTTAAAGCAACATGTATACATAATTTAATAAGTGATTGCCAGAAGTTATTTTCTCTATTAGAAATAACAGTAAAAAACAATTTTTTAAAAAATTACCACTTATGGAATGGTAAAATGTCTAAGCTTCAATCTCTAAATTTTGGCCTGTAGGGACCCCAATTTCCAAGCATCTATGGAAGTTTTGACTTTAGCCTAACCAAAGTGGGCAGATTAAGCTCCAGGCATTTATTGTGAGTGTGGAATGGAGGTTTGCATACTGAACTCCCACGTCATCTTCAAAAAGTAAAGTTTCAGACCTTTTCTTCCTAACAGGAACACTTTCCCTTGGGGGTCTGAATCTGCATTCTGGGGTCTTTGCTGAGTTCTTCGGCAACTGATGTATTTAAAGGACCCTCTTGAATACCCACTTATTTTATCTATACATGTTCCTTTAAGTACTTACCTAAAGAGTTTTCTTCCATGTGACAAAGCTGCTTGTTTTAAATGCTCATTACTACTCACTTTTTATGCTAAGAAAATGCATATTCAAGTTGCAGTTTGCAAATAATGATCAAAGAGAGCCTTCCTCTTAATTAAATCACTGGTTAACCTGATAAGCCTCATCAGGGGTCAAATTAATTAATTCTATAGAATTCCAATTCCATTGGCGTTCCTTTTGGCCAAATCATCTCAAAATTTACTATATAAAGTTTCCTTCCTATTCAGATTATAAATTCTTTACAACTGAAGAAAGCATTAACATAAATATGGCATTTACCGTTATAACTTTGATAACTGCAAACCTTGACCCATGCTTAGGTGATCAGATAAATCACAAAAGTATTAGGAAAACTAAGTTGATTAAATTAAGAAGAAGGTGCTATATTATTAATAAGCAAATTTTAGACAATCTGACTCTCTTCCAATGTTTTTTTAAATGAGGTAAAGTTTGATATGTGGTTAACACAGTTTTTTTTTTTCTTTCCTAGAGAGACATCTCCTTTATGGACGACCTGCAGTGCTTTATCGGACCAGATATGATATTTTATATCATACTGACTTTGAAAGTGGTTATAGCGAAATATTCCTAATGCCCCTCTGGACATCATATACTGTTTCCAAACAGGTTGTTGAGAAAATTGGATTTTATGTTCTTCATTTTATTACATTCCTTGCATTAATACAATGAATGCTTGCTTAATAGAATCTTGTCTTGGAAAATATTTTAGTTTTTCCTGATGAAAGAAATCCTATGTTGGATCTACTGCAAGATATTTTGAACTAGTCATAATTTGATGTTCTAATAATTCCATGGCACTATGTGAAGCATTGAAGGGAGCATACTAATTCTTTTAGTTTGTTTTACTTCGCTTAAGTCGTTTCCTGCTAGTTACAGAGCCACTAAAGTTAGTTTGTTTGTTTTAATAGACTTTATTTTTTAGAGCAGTTTTCGATTCCCAGCAAGATTGAGTGGAAAGTGTAAAGTTCCCGTATACTTTCTGGCCCCACACACCCACGGTCTCCCCCTCTATCAGTATTCAGTTTGTTTTTAATAAAATTTTATTTTGGGGTTTTAGTTTTGATGAAGACGACATAGGTAGGTATATCAGGAATAAGAAAATTTTATTTGGCAGTTGAGCTTTGTTTTACATTTCTGAGTACAAAGGAAGAGAACACTTCTATTACCCAAAACACAGCTTCATTTTAATTTGTACTGTGTGCATATATGTGTGCTTCTGTACGTACTGTGTGGATGTGTGTATTTTTTTTAAAGGAGATATGTCTATATTATTTCTTAGGGTGTTCTTTTTAAGTTACCTTCTGTGAATCCTATTCATTATTTAAACAGCGGGATTTCTGCTTTATATTCTCCTCTATATTGGTGTTTCACTGAAGACTTTGGTAAGAGCATTCTGCTGCTAAAAAATAAGAGTTTGGAAATTATTGGCTTTTATGGTATTTAATTGTAGGGACTTTTTTTAAAAAAAGAGTCGGAACATCAGATTATAAACTCTAGTAAAAGCTAGGAGGGGTTTTGATTTTGGCTGTTTGTAGCAGAGCAACCTGGCATCAGTATTTCCCTGTTGGTTTGGCATTGTCACTGTGATGGCATTACTGAGCGTCCCTGACTCCTCATGCAGGCTGAGGTCTCTGGCATTCCCGAGCATCTGACGAATTGTGTGCGGCCTGACGTCCGTGTTTCTCCGAGTTTCAGTCAGAACTGTTTGGCCTACAAAAATGATAAGCAGATGTCCTACGGATTCCTCTTTCCTCCTTGTAAGTTATAGAGTCTCAGGATCTGAAGCTTCTAGAGGGATGTTATTCTGTGCATTCTAGAGTGTGAAACTTGGTATTTAGGATTTCAGAGTCACGTGTTTTCTTCAAGAGGAGCACTCTACAGATTGTAGAGATAAACTTCTGTGGGATCCTTCCAAAATCGGCCAAAAAATGACCAGCTTTCAAAAATCCCATTCTCCAGGAGAATTCTAAAGTACAAGGGACTCTTCTGTGTTCCCCCTCACATCATTAAATGAGACTCCAAAAACAAAATAGTAAATCATTAAGACATTAGTCCATTAAATAATGCTATAGAGGGGCTCTCTTAAGAACACATGAAGCCCTTTAATTATCTCTCATTATCTCGATGACAGTTTTTTAAAGTCTAAATTGCACTAATGAAATCAAGGAATTCTTTTACATAATGGTTGGTAGACTCAAGAACTAGGTAGGAAGGAAAAGCATTGTAAACGATTTTTGAGAGAGAGCTATTGAGTGAAAAAGAGAGGCTGAGTAGGGGGTGGGGGAGTAGGAAATGTATAAAGGAGTTAGTGAGTAGGAATAAAAGAGTAGATCCATTTACTTCATGCTATTTGAACCATTTTAGAAAATTGCTTTTTTGACTGATGTAGATTTTGGTAAGCAATGTACGCTATTTGTTCCCCTAATGCTTAGATCTGAGCTCTTCTCCAGAGGCTAAATATGATGCATTCCTTGTAACCAACATGGTTCCGATGTATCCTGCTTTCAAACGTGAGTCCAGTATTTACCTAATACACTGTTATTTATGAATACAAATATTTCTAAATTTACCACTTGCCTTTTCCACCTTTATATTAATTTTAATAATAATACCTTTCATGTATATAGCCTGTATACTTTTTGAGGACCTTTCATATACATTCCCTATTGTTGATCTAAAATTTGAATCTGTGAGGAAGGTTGGCAGTTTATCCCTTGTTTATAATTAAGAAATGGACATCACAAAAAGTGGCCCAGCTCATGAATGGTAGAAGCTAAACCAAGTTTCTGTTTTTCTTTTAATCTGCTGCTATTTTTATTTCAAAGCTCATTAGTTTGATGGTTAAAAGGATCTTTTTTTGTACTTTTGAGGCCACTTGACCTTTAGCAGCGTCTATATTTATTTATTGGACATTACAATAAAAGCCACTAGCACCTCTCTCCTTTGGGGTTATGATATATTCTGAATGTTGACCCTGAAACCCAAGAGGCTGAAGTGTCTTTTGAATCATCAGAGCATTAATTTCAGATGGTTTCAGGACTGTGCAAATTATTGTTTTAGTTTCTTTGAACACTTATAATTTCTTTGTACATGACATAAATATTTGTGGGTGATAGTGATATTATGAATTGTATAAGCACAATAAGCTTGGCCCCCAAAACCAAGTTCTTGTTCCTGCAGTGTGACCACTGGCTGTGTGACCATAGAAATGCCATTTAACCTCTCATTTGTGAAGTTAAGAGATTCGATTGCATGACATCTAAGACTCATTTGGATTTACGACTTAATTGTCTAATGGCCAGAACAATTCATTTTTTATTTCTGATAACAAAGAATTCATTCTTTCATCTCTCCATCCATCTATCCATCCATTCATCCTTTCATCCACCCACGCAGGCAAAGATAGAGAAAACGTAATGGAGTAGCTTTTACTTTCTGTTAGTTCATTTACAGTGAACAGACCTAAATCCTTATGGGAAAGTAGGAAAAGGATGCACCCATACGTGATTCAACGTGGCAGAGATACTGTGATACAGGGCTGAAATAGAATCTCAAGACAGGAACGAGTGATTGTGGAGTGTCATCTATAATGGAATGTCTCCCCAGCTTAACACTGGAGAAGTGGCCCACACAGCTTAGACAAAAAAATGTTTATGTGATGTCCTAGTTAGTAAATGAAGGTTTATTCAAAGATAGAATCCGTTGCTTATGAGTGAAAAATTAAAGTCTGCTTTTAAAAGAAGGTTTCCTGGTTTGTTCTCAGACCCAACTGAAAAACATTTCAGAAACTCACATAGATACATTTATCACACTATTACACGGAAGGCAGCTTCATTTAATTTCCACAAATCAGGGTTTCCTGGATTTCTTTATTCTTTATTGATGTGTTTTTTGACCAAATGGTAATAAAGGAAACACACGGTACCACCCTGAGGCTGGTATGGAAAGGGCCTTTCACAGAGAGCTGGCTGTTCTTCTTCACTAGAGGAATGGTTTTTTCACATGCCACGTTTCTGCGGGTTTGGCCTTTTGACTGTTCTCATTGTTGTTTCTTTTCCTCTCTCCCTCTCCATTTTTTTTTTTTTTTTTGATTGCTCAAGTTAACATTTGAACTTCTCTCTCACTGTCCAGCTTCTTTCTTTACCACAAATAATTATTTAAGGTATTTTGGCTCTGGCGAGTTGCTCTGCCATTCTCACCCAGAGCAGAATATCAGAAGGGATAGAGGACAGTTGACGCCCTCTGAGAAAGATGGCCATGTACTTTTTAGTAAGGGGAGGGAAGAAGAGATAAAAGCTGGAAAATCACAACCCTTATGTAGAAGAGAGCATGGCGAGTTGGAGTGAATATTTCAGAACCAACTCATTGCTTGCCTCCCTGTCTTCTTCTGTTATTCTTTTCTTTTGCCTTTCTCCTTTTCCATTCTGCTCCCCTCATGCCTCCTTGCTTGGTCATCATGTACATTACAGCCAGAGTGGACAAGGAAATCCTCTGCAGGGGGTGACATTAAAAGTGAGAAATGAGTAATAGAGGAGAAACCAGATAAGCACAGATCAGGGGATGAGATTTTCAGGCAAGGAGAAGAGCAAACGCAACTGTTCAGCCTGGAGCAAGTTTGGCAAGGCTGGGGGACAGAAAGATAGCCTTGCAGCTGAGGGGGAAAGGGTAGGAAGTGAAGTCATGGAGGGAGGCAGAGGCCATGGTGGGAAGTTGGAAACTATCTGGAGTGTTAGAAATGGGTGGTGTTGGGGTGGGGGTTGTGGGAGATATGATCTGATTTATGGTGTAAAAGGATCCATCTGGCTACTATATGGAGAATGGGCTACCAGGGAAGTCCATTTCTCACAAGGAGCTCAGGAAGTAGTCTTTTGTGGCAGTTCACTTCAGAGAGGATGATAACTTAGACCAGGGTAGAGGCAGTGAAAAAGGTGAGAGGTGGTCAGATTTGGGGTTATTGGGTTGTATTTTGGTGACAGCACTGACAGGACTTGTTCTCATGTGTATGAAGTAAGGAGAAAAGGCAAGGATGACTCCCAGGATTTTGGCCTGAACGTCTGAGTAGTGTCAGAGTGTTGACATGATCGAGTAGGTGAAGGTTGGGGCAGGACTGGGAAGGAACATCAAGATTGTGTTTGGATAATATTTTGCTTGCCGTGACTATTTGGTATTCCAGTGGATTATCAGATGGGTGGTTGGATAATATGTTTGGAACTCTGTGGGAAGGTCAGGGCTAAAGACATAAACTTGGGAACTAGCATATTAAGGAGATCATGAAGGAAGAGAAGATAGAGTAAGGCCTTATTTTTGATTACTCAGAAATGCCGTATGTCCTCTTTTGCACATACTGTTCCCTTACTTGGCCTCCACTTCTTTGTCTAGGAAATGCCCCCTACTTATCCATCCCTTGGTAACCACTTCATCTGGAAATCCTTCCCATACTTCTTGGACTAGGTTAAACACTGCTATCATTGTTTCATAGCTCCATATATTTCCCTTTGCTGGTTTATAAATAACACACACACTGATAATGCTTTACGGTGAGCTCTTCTCATGAATCACAACAGTTCTATTGTCTCTTGGCTTATAACATTTGGCCTGTAGAATGCACCCTGGACAGCTTTTGGCCAAAGTCAAAATGAGTTTTGTTCACAAAGAATTGATTTTTGTCTTTGCGCAGGGGTCTGGAATTATTTCCAAAGGTTATTGGTGAAGAAATATGCCTCAGAAAGAAATGGAGTTAATGTGATAAGTGGACCAATTTTTGACTATGACTACGATGGCTTACATGACACAGAGGACAAAATAAAGCAGTAAGCGTTTTACTTCTACTCAGCATGTGATTTCTTAAATTCCAAGATCTCAACTCAAGGCTGTTTTTCAAATATTCATGTACTAGAGGAAAACTGATACCCCTTAAATGTTTTTCTCTTTGAATCTCCTTTTGAATTCTTCAGTTCTTATGATTAAATGCGGCATTGATGGTTGGAATGGAATTTTGGGATTTGTGGTAAATAAATGCACTTTTCTGTTCCGTGAAAGAATACGTAACGAAGATTTTAAAATATATTCAACAACTCTTCTGGAGAGATGATCATTTCCACTCAGCTCCATTATTTTTGGGGGATGGGGAGAACTTTGGAAATCCCTTAGATTTTCTGAGTTAGTACATCGCAGTAGGAAATTGCATATAGATTTTGGTTGAATCTGGTTGCCTCTGTCTCTCTCCATGGTGATATTGGGCATATGAAAGAATAAGGGATATTCTGGGCTTGTGAGGAACTCACAGTCTAGTGGAAAAGACAAGAAAATACACATGCCAACAAATTCAGAATCAGTTGTAATTTAATTTTATACATGCATGAATCAATAAGAGAGCAACACAGAATATTAGGGTTTAGTTGTGATTTACAGATAATTAGAGAATAAAATGCTATTTTAAAAATACAGATGTATAAAATAGAAGTTATATTACTGCTTTTCTAGTCATTAATAAGAGAAATTTTATCTTAATTGTACATTTATTTTGTTGCCGATCATTGTTATAGTTTTTTATCTAACATAAAGTTATTAGCTTAATCATAATTTTAATATTTGGAAAATGGTTAAAATTAAGATAATAGAAAACCAGGCAAGGAATTGTGAATTTCTGTACACTGCTGTACTGGAAAAGATTTTTTATACCTCTAGACTCATAACCAGCACTCAGGCCTTAGTACTTCTTTTGGTAAATGAGTTCTTTGTACCAAGTTTAATATCTCATTGTAGCTTGAAAAGGCTGTTATTCTCCTAGCTCCAGTGTCTTCTGCCTCTGGTCCATTTTATACAGCTCTATGAAAATTACCTTCCTGAAATATAGATATAATAATGAATGACACTCCCTAACACAAAAATCTTCACTATGGAGAATTACTGCCTAAACAATAGTGTCCAAACTCCACACCCTGGTACTCAGAACCCACCATAATTTGGCTTTTATTGACTCTTCCAACCTTTCATTTCTACTACATTGATCTGTTAACCATTACCTGCCTCCAAGTCTTGGACTAAGCATTTTTCTTTTTTTGCCCGGAATTATCTTTCTCACTCTGTCAGGTTGAAGAAGTGAGGGGATTCCAGGCAGATAAAACATTATGTTCAAAGACATAGTAGTGGGCTAGTGCTTAGAAGGGGCAAATGATTCAACTGAATGGGAATTAATTTCAGTGACATTGGCAATATTGATTGGTCATCATTTAAAAGAGAAAGCTTCTACATCAGTTGTGACTTTATTTTACCTTCCTGTTTCAGGTATGTGGAGGGCAGTTCCATTCCCGTGCCGACACACTACTACAGCATCATCACCAGCTGCCTGGATTTCACTCAGCCTGCTGACAAGTGTGACGGCCCTCTCTCTGTGTCCTCCTTCATACTTCCTCACCGGCCCGACAATGACGAGAGCTGCAATGTGAGTTCACGGAGACAGTCCTTTAGGATTTGCTTTCATAGTTAACCTTTGTTTCTTAATTTATATTTTCATCGTTGAAGTAGAATTCACTTACTATAAAGTGGTGTACTGTACAACAAAGTAGAAAGAAGAGAGGACCTAAAGAGAACTTTGCCTAACATTTTATTTCTATGTTCAGATTTGACAAATGATAGAAGTGCCTGAATGTTTTTATTTCTTTTATTTTCTTTTCTGTTTTGACTTTTTTTTTAAATTTCAGCACATTATGGCAGTACAATGTTTAGGTTACATATATTGCCTTTGCCCCACACAAGTCAGAGCTTCAAGCATATCCATCCCCAGATGGTGCACATGGCACCCACTAAGTGTGACTATACCCATCCCCTCCTCCCCCTCCCACCTGCCTGACACCCAATGAATGTTACTACTGTATGTGCACATAAGTGTTGATCAGTTAATACCGATTTGATGGTGAGTACATGTGGTGCTTGGTTTTCCATTCTTGTGATACTTCACTTAGGAGAATGGGCTTCAGCTCTATCCAGGATAATACAAGAGGTGCTATATCACCATTGTTTTTTGTGGCTGAGTAGAACTCCATGGTATACATATACCACATTTTATTAATCCACTCGTGTATTGATAGGTACTTGGGTTGTTCCCACATCTTTGCAATTGTGAATTGTGCTGCTATAAATATTCTAGTGTAGATGTCTTTTTTATAGAATGTCTTTTTTTTCCTTTGGGTAGATGCCCTGTAATGGGATTGCTGGGTCATAGAACTCAGGAAAATCGCAAGAAAAATCAAACAACCCCATTAAAAAGTGGGCAAAGGACATGAACAGAAACTTTTCTAAGACTAATGGCCAACAAACATGAAAAAATGCTCAACATCTCTAATCATCAGGGAAATGCAAATCAAAACCACAATGAGATATCACTTAACTCCAGTGAGAATGGCTTTTATCAAAAAGTCCCAAAACAACAAATATTGGCATGGATGTGGAGAGATAGGAACACGCCTACACTGCTGGTGGGACTGCAAACTGGTACAACCTCTGTGGAAAGTAATATATAGATACCTCACATTGCTAAAAGTAGAACTACCAAATGTTTTTAGTTTTGCAAAAGGCACACATATTTTGTAAAAAGAAAGTAGAAAATAGCAAAATTCTGATAATTGTTGAAACTAAGTAAGAGGTCATGGGAGTTCATTATATTATTTTCTTCCCTTAAATGGATGTTCGAAAATTTCCACAATAAAAGCTTTTTAAATGCACACAGACATACACACACTGAGAATGAGAGTGAGCAAGAGAGGAATATATACTTTACTAATCAAGTTTTCTTTTCCTACTAGTTATGAGGGAGATATAATAGTCACTCTTTTCTCAAGTAGCACAGATGACTCCTGATTCACTATTTCTCCATGGAGACAGCTGGGAGGCAGGAAGGGATGATAGAAAAGCCCCTAGGTAGGAGGACAGAAGCCCTGATCTATGTTCCTGGCCCTGTGCTAATTTGGTACTCAGGGACAAATCACATAAAATCTTTAAGTCTTTTTAACATGATGGAATTGCCTGTGCTCCCAGGTTGATTTTAGAGGTAATAGTCTCTGTGCTTTTGTTTTTCACAGTAGAAGGTGAAGGGATATAATCTACAGAAGAGGATTTTTAGTCAACAAGTATTACTCAAATTCCTAAATTGTATAAGATAGTCTAGGAGAAACAATAGTGTGTTACACATAGTCATTACTTCTAGGCAGTCTACAGGGTGGGGTAGCGAATAAAATTGGTATAGAAATTGCTACACTGAAAAGCTAAGAGCCATGAGAATAGCTTCCATGAAGAATGTCAGCTTCGCAGGCAAGGTAGCTTTTGGCTGACGGCTTCAATCAAAGGTGAAGATTGTGGCTACGAATATTCAAAGCAAAATGAGTGTGCAGAAAAAAATTTAGAAATTTGAAATATGGCCTAGAAAGCTTATTAAGTTTGGCCAGAATATTGGAAATGAGGGCAGTAGTGGGAGATAAGATTTTTTTTTTTTTTTGAGATAAGATTTTAAAAGTTGCTTGGAATCAAATATTTAAAAGCGTAGTAGTAGTAATGGTAGTAACAGTAGTAGTAACAGGAGTCATAGTAGCAGTAGTAGCTATTACCATTTATTGAGTACATGTTATGATCCAAACACTGTGCAGATTTTTTACTTAAATTATTTCTAATAGTATAATCACTCTATGAGGCAGGTATGTATATAAATGATCTCTCCCTGGCCCTTTTATTATAACTGTTGAGAAACCTATAGCTAATAAAGGGAAAGTATATTGCATGGTTACTTGGTTAGTCAGTAGGAAAGCAGAGTTCTAGATTTAAGGCCTCTGACTCCAAAATCCTGTCCTCTTTCCAATTTACCAGACTTCTATAATAGAACCTTGGGACGTTAGGAACTTTTCTTACTGCTCAGGCATTAGATAGCCAAGGAGAATGTTTAATCAGAAAAGCAACGTTTTAGGCTGGGTACGTGGCTCACACCAGTCATCCTAGCACTTTGGGAGGCTGAGGGGGGAAGGTGTTCAAGATCAGCCTTGGCAATAGCGAGACCCTCTCTTTACGCAAAATAATTAGCCGGGTGTGGTGGCACACATCTGTAGTCCCAGCTACTCAGGAGGCTGATCCCAGAGGAACACTCGAGCCCAGCAGTTTGAGGTTGTGATCACGCCATTGCACATTCTAGCCCACAGAAGAATTACAGCAGCATTTTAGGCTCTGCTTTCGGGAGATAAATGTGAATTGGAGGAGGTTGAGTGTGGTGCTCAAAAGGGCTTTGGCAGGATTCACAGGAGTGAGGGTGAAAGAACTTGAACTAATGTTATGGTCCTGGAAATTTGAAAAGAAGGATGGAAGGCAGCAATATTATAACCAAAGGATCAATAGGATTTTATAAATGATTGAATGGAAGGTGGAGAAGTGAGGAAACTGCAAGTGAGAAACGAGCTGTCATCAACTAACTTATTGGCTTGGCCTTCTCAATTTTGGTCATTCATAGCCATAAGAGTAGCTAATGGAGTATCAAGGGGATATATTGCCTCTATAATATGAAATACTCTCTCTGAGCTTCAGTTTTACTAAAAACTTGTGGGGAGGTAAAATTTTTGGAAAAAATCAAATACATATATTATGGAGTGAAATTAAAAATTGCCATGCACTTTTAAGATAAAGCAAAGACTACAAAGACATTTTGTATGTATCATAGGCCTTTTAAGGTACACTTAGATTCCTGGGGATTACGTGTTCAAGTTCTGTCATTAGCGGAATTTGGTGATGGGAGAGTTTGAAAAACACTTTTCCAAACTCAGGGCAAAAGATGTTCTCTAGCAACCCAAATCTGACATCTGAAAAATGAAATCTACCGAAGTCTTCACAAGTCTTTCTCACCCAGTCCTTGCTGGTTTCTGACCGTGCACAGAGTGTGGAGGTATTTCTTGTAGAGTTCATGGCCAGCATACTTCTTACTGAAGAAAACCCTGTTCACATAATTACATGTCTTTGCTTAGAAGTTTACCTTAAAATTGTTGGGGCTTGAATTCATGACCCTGCTTGAGAGAAATTCAAGGAGAAAAGGCAGGCGAAAAATAAATGTCCATAGCAAGAAAAACAATAATAAGTGAGTTCACGGAATGTGCTTTTGTTTGCATTAATTAATATTCTAAGTTATTATTTTTAAAGTTTTTCCTTTCCTTCCTACCTTGGTGTACATGAATTTAAAAAAAAATTATTAGTTTTGCGTCTTGCACTATAGTCTTCATCAGCAAATACTTGTGTGGATTGCCAGCTGACATCCAGGCAGAAGATATTTTCTTCACACAAAATAGCCAGTATGTCCTAATTATGAACTGGAGACCAGATTTTAGTGTGTGAGAACCAGAAGAGAATGCCCCTCCAGTGGAATTGGCAAATCACTTCCCAATGAAAGAAATAGCAAAAGACAGATTTTTTTTTTTTTTAGAATTTTTCTAATCCCAGCTGACCATTATTTAAATTAGGAAAAACCTTTTTACCCCTGTCCACACATTCAAATGACTGCATTTGCAAAGGAAAAATTGGACTGACTGACCATTGAAAAATCAAACAAATGAGCTGAATATAAAAATTCTCCCAAAATACAGCCTCATGCTTGCCCTGCTTACTCTGAGGGGGTCCTGACCCATCTGGAGACCTCCTACTTCGTTAATTATATGGTCACACTGAGGATTGGTCAGCACCGTTGTGGGTAGAGTTATATTTAGGTCTTTCCTGTGAATCACAGAGATGTTGGTTAGGTTGGGTTAGGAGGGTGGGGCACGGAAGGTTAAAATCCTTACTTCCCTGGTCCGAAAAGCAATTTCTTCCCATTTCTTCATTTTGCCTTGGAAGGCCAGAAGTCAGTTTCCTGAACCAACACCCTTGTGCAACACATTTAGCACTGGCACGAGCTGCTATATCCGCCTGTCCAGGTCTGCGTGGGTTGGAGCTTTCCGAGAAAACGTATTGCAGGTTATTGGGCTTTGGTGGCTAGTTCACTGAGACCACTAGTGGTAAAGAATTGGGTGAGGGCCTGTCTGAACGTTCTCAGCCTTGGAACATGCAGCCACCCTTCAGATTGTAGAAAGGCTCTTGGGAACCATTGCAATTCCTGGGGCATTCGTGAATGAAATTATTTGCAAAGGCCTTCTTGCTCCATGTCTGCTAATGAAGGTAGGCACTTCTCCATAATTCACAGGGCTCTCAGAACTTATTCTTTCCCTCAAAAGTGAAAGAAGATATTTTTGAGATACAAAGAACTGCTACACCTGAATTATCTTTTAGTTTTAAGTTGACCATGATATAAGTTGTTCAACGTGGAACATCCGAAGGTCTTTCACCTGGAACTCGTGCCGATGAGGCAGTTTTTGGCAAGCAGCTAAGACAGAAAGAGATTTCCTTCCTTTCTTCCATGGTGTTTCCTTACTTTCTCTTTTTTCCCTTTTCTTTCTTCCTTCTCCTTCTTCCTTCCTCCCAAGGAATGGCAGAAATTAGCATTATTATCCTTGTGAACCAATGAAGAAACTGAGGCCTCGAGAAGTCAAGTAGCTTGACCAAAGTCTCATAGCCAAAAAACACTAGACCCACATTTCTAGCTCAGGCTTCTTGGGCCCCAGGGTGCCAGGTGTACCAATTCGGCTGCTTTAAGTCAAACACATTATTCCAATATCAATTCATTGCATTCTAAGAGATGATGTAGTTGATGTAGTGGGTTTTTTTAAAAAAAAAAAAAAAACTAGGAATGCACACACATAATTTTGTGCATCAGGAATAAGTTCTTCACTTTACTTGGGAGGCAGAGTAGTATTCCAAATTACTCGTGCTCTGTGCTCAACATTGCAATTTGACAGCCGGGAAAAGAAACAAATTACCGAATTCTCCAGGGCCTTTGGTTTTCCTAATTTTGATTTATGTTCTGAGAACCTATTGAGTCAAATGCACTCTCATACCACATGTCTCGTTTATTTGGTACAGCTAATTGCTGTTGAAAATGTTTACAGCCAAGGGCAGGTATTTGTGGCACATTACCGACAGGAATGCGGCAGAGAGGCAGAAAGGCCTGGAAGGAACAACACGCATTGGCTCTGTGTGCAGGAGTGTGTAGAAGTCATTTGTGGACTTAGAGCAAACTGACCATTTGGAGAAGCTCCTCTGGAAAATTCTGACTCTGATTGTGTTCGATTTCCATTGCAGAGCTCAGAGGATGAATCGAAATGGGTAGAAGAACTCATGAAGATGCACACAGCTCGGGTGAGGGACATCGAACATCTCACCAGTCTGGATTTCTTCAGAAAGACCAGCCGCAGCTATCCAGAAATTCTGACACTCAAGACATACCTGCATACATATGAGAGCGAGATTTAACTTTCTGATCATCTTCAGTGCAGTCTTATCAACTGGTGTATATTTTTATATTGTTTTTGTATTTATTAAACCAGAACCTTAAAAAATGTTAGTATTTTAATCCTGTACCAGATCTGACATATTATGCCTGAATGACTCCACTGTTTTTCTCTAATGCTTGATTTAGATAGTCTTGTGTTCTAAGTAGAGCTTGTAATAAATACTGCAGCTTGAGTTTTTAGTGGAAGCTTCTAAATGGTGCTGCAGATTTGATATTTGCATTGAGGAAATATTAATTTTCCAATGCACAGTTGCCACATTTAGTCCTGTACTGTATCGAAACACTGATTTTGTAAAGTTGCATTCATTTGCTGTTAACTATGACAGACATATTTAAGCCTTATAAACCGATCTTAAACATAATAAATCACACATTCAGTTTTTTCTGGTTTTATTTGGATTTTATTTCACTTATAAATTAGAGGGTTTGCTTCAGGTGTATTCATGCATGTAAGGAACACTTTTTTTTTTTTTTGGTGCTGAGCCCTCTTCCTAGTTGCTTCCATGCTGTTTAACTCCAGTGGTCTGGATGAGATGGTTTAGGTACATATCTGTGGGAAATCAGAAGGGCAAAGGGAAAGGGGAACCAGAATGCACTTTCCCAACACATCTCTTTAAAAATATTTTTAAGTTTGGAAGAATAGTCTCTTGATCAAGTTGCTTCAAAACTCTTAAGTATTAGATTAAATTCAACTGCATTAAGCATATATTCTGTACAAGGTATCAAACTAAGAACCATGGAGGATATAAAGAGAAATAAGACAGTGAGATGAGATATAGACATAAGAGAATATGGACGGACACGCTTGCAGCTCTGACTCGGGTGGGGCAAAGGCAATATTTGTAACCTAAACATTTGTACCCCCATAATATGCTGAGATAAAAAAATAAAAAATAAAAAAAGGAAAAAGAATAGACAAAAAGCTGAAAAAAAAAGAATAATAAATGCCAACTGAAAAGTTTTACTAACAATACAATATGACAGAAGGGTCTCAGTGGTGTGTGGGGTGATTTCAGATGGACATAGTTCTGGCATTAAATACTAATGATGCATGGAGTAAGGACGTCATTCAAAAATGTTCACTCCTGATTCTATTATGGAGAAAGACTAACATTAATGTTGTCATATCTCGAACAGTTGCTAATGCCCCCCCTGGGGGACAGGGGGAGGAGAAAACAAGATAATAGCATATGGTTTTATTTTCATTCTAACTTTTACAGTTGCTCCCTTTTATAGTCAGTAAAATGGGTTTTTAATTTCTATAAATTTTCTTTTTAAAATACATTTATTTAAGAAGGAAGACATTGTGTCAAATAAAAAATACTTTACATCAAAAGTACAACAGATGGGCCGGGCGCGGTGGCTCATGCCTGTAATCCTAGCTCTCTGGGAGGCCGAGGTGGGCGGATTGTTTGAGCTCAGGAGTTCGAAACCAGCCTGAGCAAGAGCGAGACCCCGTCTCTACTAAAAATAGAAAGAAATTAATCAGACAACTAAAAATATACAGAAATTAGCCGGGCATGGTGGCGCATGCCTGTAGTCCCAGCTACTCGGGAGGCTGAGGCAGAAGGATTGCTTGAGCCCAGGAGTGTGAGGTTGCTGTGAGCGAGGCTGATACCACGGCACTCACTCTAACCCGGGCAAAAAGAGTGAGACTCTGTCTCAAAAAAAAAAAGTACAACAAGTGGTATCAGGGATATATGAAAAGTCATGAAGGTGGTAAGAGAAAAACTGATGCTTGGGAAATAGAGCTATAGGAATACATTGCAAGAATTGATCATAGTAATACTAGTGGTAGTTGCATTTATTGAGCCCTTATTATGTTATAGGCATGTCTCTGGCATTTCACATGGCTTGTCCGAATGCTGAAAAATGGGAAGCTCAGGAAAAATTCTATAGAAGGGGAAAGAATGGAGATATCAATGGGAAAGAATGCTTGAATTCGTTTTTTTTTTGAACAAAAAAGATTCTTTTTATTTATAAAACACAGATATACACACAACACAAACAGATAAACAGTATATAAAATGTTATTGTGGGGGAGATTAGGAAAAAGATACCTAAAAATGCTCATTAGGGTGGTGACTATGAAAACAAAGGTTGAGAAACACCTGCTTTATCTTAATACTTGTCTCTTGTATGGCAATCATTACTTTGTATTCGATTGTGTGTCTCTCACAAGTTAGAGAACCATGGATTTAAAGCCCCAGCCCCTAGCAAGGTACTTAACGTGTTAGCATTCCCTAGTTATTTGCTTGAAGGAGATGATAATTGAGATATTTGCTTCCAAGTATGACTGCTCCACACCAGAAAACCCTGCAAAAATCACTTTTAATAATGCTTGAATTTGGATTGGGAGTTTGGGATAGAGTGCAAGTATGGTATAAATGCATTAGAATATGGCTCATAATTCATTTAAAATTCAATAATAATTTATTGAGCATATACTAAATGCCAGTACTTACACAGGTTAAGCATCCCAAATTTGTAAATCTGAAATCCGAAGTGCTCCAAAATCTAAAACTTTTTGAGCACAGATGTGATACTCAAAGGAAATGCTCATTGGAGCATTTCAGATTTCAGATTTTTGGATTTGGAGTGCTCAACCCAGGTATAATACAAATATTCCAAAATTCAAAAAAATCCGAAATCCTAAACATTTCTGGTCCCAAGCATTTTGGGTAAAGGATACTCAATCTCTACTTGCCGTCGAGGGTAAAACAGTGTATAACATAAACATGGTTCCTGATGTCATAGAATTTGCACTTTAAGAAGAGAAAGAGAACTTTTTAAACACCTCCAAAGCTCAGTTAAGATATGTGCTGTGAAAGCATTAAACAGGTGGAGAGTGACAAGGGGGAGGAGGAAGGGAAGGGCCTCATAGATGACATTACAGCCAAGACCTGGGAAATGAGAAGAGGTGGCCTTGAGAGGAATAGGGACAAGAAGGAAGTGCATGGCCAAGGACTGGGAGTAGGAAAGATCTTAGGATGTGTGAAGATCTGAAAGAAAACGGGTGTGCCTGGACACAGTGGTGAGGCAGGTAGGGACCAGGTCAGGTACCATTGAGGTCCAATAGGCCCCACTGAGGCATTTTGATTCTATTCTAAGTGCAATGGGAAATAATTGAAAAGTTGAAAGCAGGGGTGTGACAGGATCTGATTTAAGATTTCAGTATATTCAACTGGATATGTAATAATTACACACTATGCTGTAGATATAATGCCACATAAAAATACATTTGATAAGAGAGGGTCTGTTTACTAAGTGCTGTAATTGTTTCCCAATAGCATTACAAGGGAGAAAGGTTAAATCTATTTTTTAAAAAAAACATAGTTGCAAGCTCCTTGCTAGATTTCTATATCACCTCAGATTGAACTCGTCTCCAAATAGGTATACCCAAGGTTCCTGCGGAGACCAGTGCAAATTTAGTTGAGTGCTGCTGCTCTATATTTATACTTAGCTCAAGTCTTTCTTTCTTATAAATAAACTCCATGTCCAGAGAGAACATCAACTGCTGTGTATGAATTTGATGAGAACATCAACTTCAGGTGAGTGGCTTTGACGATAAACACATGTCATTAGTTGTGGAGTTATTTATAAAAGGCCCTGAATGGACAGGGACTCTATTAAAATGAGGTCTAGAAGACTATTTTAAGTCTGGATATATGTACATATTTTTTTTATTGAGCCCTTGCTCCATTCATGCTTTCATTGAGCAAGTTGCAAACCACTTGCTAGCATGGTGGTCCTGTTGCAGTGGATTGATTCAGAAACTGCCTCTCCAAAATGAACTCATTGTAATGGGGTAAACCAGGAAAGCAGCCACATAGTTTCCTAAGGGTGAAAACATTCTGTATTGTTTATAAGAGGGTTGAATTTTTTTAAAAAAAATCTTTGAACAAAAGTGGTGTTTGGTGCCAACTGGGTTTGCATAACTCTGCCCAAAAGCCCCAGCTCCCAGCTTCCTGTGCACATTATTCCTTGCAGTGGCTGGGAAGAGGGTGGCTGCAGATGGGTCCAGATGATTCCTCCTGTTTGTATTCCTCTTGCTTCAGCTGTCCCTCACTATCTCTCTGCTGAGTCAGGGCCAGGCTGCGTGTGGGTGGGAAGTGGTAAAGGCAATGGGAATTCTCCCATGGCTTTGAGGAGAGGGAGTGTATGGGACCGGGAAGAGCAAGAGGCTTCAGATGTTCAAGTTCGTAGGCTGGGGTAAAGAGAGCACTGCTGGAGGTCCAACCTGGGGTGGCAGTGTTTCCTGTTTGGGCTGCATTTCTAGGAAGTGCATGCCCTTGGACCCTCTTGGCAGGGATGTCCAGGTCTGACTGGAATGTAATAGAAGTGGAAAAGATGAGCCTTGGCTGCTGCTGCTTCTTCTTTTTAAAAAAACAGCTTTATTGATGTAAAACTGGCATAAATAAACTGCACATACTTAAAGTATTCGATTTGATCAATTTTGACATATATAAATACCCATGATACAATTCGCCGCAATCAAGACAGTGAACATATCCAATTACACCCAAAAGTCTCCTCAGGCCCCTTAGTTACCTCTTTCTCACACCCACCTCATACCATCTCCCTTCCCTAATCCCCAAGCCATGATTTGCTTTCTTTCAGTGTAGATTAGTTGGCATTTTATAGAGTTTCATCCTAATGGAATACTACAGTATGTAAATCTTGTCTGGCTTCTTCCACTCAGCATAATTATTCTGAGACTCATTCAAATTGTTGCGTGTTGTCAACAGTTCATTCCTTTTTAATTGCTGGGTAGTATTACCTTGTATAGATGTACCAATGTTTGTTTATTTGTCTCTTGATGGACATTTGGGTTATTTTCAGTTTTTAGCCATTGCAGCCAAAAAGCTGCTAGGAACATGTGCGTACGTATGCTTTCTTGTGTGGACATATGCTTTCATTTCTCTTTGGTAAATACCTAGGTGTGGGGTGGCCTGATCATATGGTAGATAGGTATATATTCAACTTTTTAAGTAGCTGCCAAACTGTTTTCCAAAGTGGCCATTGTATTTTACAGTCCCACTAGTGGCACATAAGCGTTCCACTGCCTTTACGTCCTTGCCAACTCTTGCTATGGTAGCCTTAATTTTAGCTATCCTAGTAGATGAGGAATGGTACCTTACTGTGATGTTTGTTTGCATTTTCCTAATGACTACTGATGTTAATCATCTTTTCTGGTGATTATTTGCCACCTATATATTTTATTTATGAAGTATCTGTTCGAATACTTTGCTCACTTAAAAAAATTGAGTTTTTTTTTCCTTATGATTGAGTCTTAAGAGGTCTTCACATATTCATTCTAGATTCAAGTCCCTCATAGATATTTTGCAAAGATTTTCTTTCAGTCTGAGACTTGTCTTTC